GATTACCACCACTGTTAAAAATGTATACAAACACGAATAACCTATAAAAAAATATATATATATACATAGTTGAATCGATTATTTATAAAAGGAATATAAAATAATTGTTTTTCATATAAATTTTTTCTTGAAAAACTATAAAAAAAAATGTTTTTCTTATGCACTATACTTATTTAAATTTGTGAATACCAATTTTTCAAATTTACTTTTTAACCAACAGGCAACATTATAAGAGTTTAAATTGGACGAATTCTGCCCTTTTCGTAAATAAAATGAGTTATTTAACTCTATTCATAAATAAAATTAATATAAATCTATTTATAATAGAAAATAGTTAATCTCAGTAACAATAGGTACAGGTGTAAATAGGTTATCTGTTTCACTGTGTTCACAAATACATTACTTACTGTTGAAGTGCATAACTAAAAAAATTGATAAATAAGCGTTTACTTTATACTTAATCAACTTGACCGAACACTCAAATTTTCAATACTTTGCACTTTGACTTACAAATTTCAATCGATATTGTATAATTTATTGATGATAGTAAAAATAAATCCGGTTTAAAAGTCCATTTGGGTCAACGAATTTGAGGATAGATAATAAAAATCTAGATATTATTAAAAGTATTTTTTTGAAACCTAAGAAGAAAATTTATGCATGCATGCTACGGCCATGGCCGTTACAATAGTTTCACTGGTCGATCCTAACTAGGGATGAGTAATTATTATCATACTTATCATTCGTCATACTCCGATCGGCTAATAAAATTATTGCTATACTAGTATACGAGAATTATTATGTTATTTTCAGGTTAAATATTCATTTTGTATGACATTTCACACTGCGTCCATTAGTTGAACTATTGTTTTTATATGCATCATAATAATTAATATTATCAAGCGGGTTTGGTAGTAAATCAATACCTCTGTTTAAAATCATTTTATGTGAATATAAATATAAACTTTAAAAAAATATATTTATTAGATTAATTGGAAGTACTACAAATTAATATTTTTAGTATTTTTTTAGAGTTTAGTGAAAATTAATCACTAGTTAACTTGTACTCTTTTACCAAAAAACTATCTAGTTATGTATACAGTGATTTAACAAGAACCAGCTATTTTTACAGAAGATAAACATAGAAAAAAAAATTGTCTGGATTTTATTTGTACTAAGTTATATACAAATTTTCTTCTACTAAAAAAACGATAGAAACTTTTCATTTTTTAGTGACAATTCCTATTTTCTTGGTTTGTTTAGGAGACCAAAATAAATGTTTTGTACTGAACCCTTTGTCTGAAAATCCAACTGCTAAAAAACCTCTTTTGAAAATTATCACCAAATGTCGAGGACAAGCCAAAAAATTATTAACACATCATAATACATTTTAAAAAAAACAGAACGCCATATCCCTCCCAATTCCCTCATCCTCTTGTGCTGGATTTTTTGTGTATGAATCCACTTTACAGTATTGTACATTTTTTTCCAATAACAGTTTTTATGTTAACAATAAGCATAGGTAAGATGAAAAAGCATTAATAATTAAAATATTTATTATTAATTAATTATTATAAGTAAAAACTAAAATAAATAAATTAAATATAAAGAAAATTACTTTTTAAAATAAAATATTTAAATTTTAATAATATTTCTTTTAAAATCAATATTGATCACTTGGCCAATAATCATACTTATTAAAATAAAATGAGGTAAATTTTTAATACAATATAAATTGTTACAACCGTATAGCCTTCCCCCTCTGGCCAAAGCCGGGGCATCGCAACTAGTATTAAAATATGAATGTGCAATTTGCATTAACACGTAATTAATTTTTTCAATTAAGTTCCTCAACTTTAATCATAACTTTAGTAGCCATCTATTACTTATCGTGCGTATTTTTGCATTCAAAATGCTTATTTGTTGTTCAATACCACACTCCTGGAGACATTATTTTTATCTTTATTACAGGTTCCAAATATCATACATTGTTACGATGTCAATGCGGTTGGTCTTAACCTATTAAATCATATTGTAATAGCCCATAACTAATTTGTGACCGCCCAGAGTGTGGTCTGCAGACCGGCTTCAAAATAAAATCATCTGTCGTCACAGGTATTACTCGGCTACCGTAGAATATACATAATATGTACGAGATAGAAAGATTGTACAAACACTAAAATAACTATAAAAGAACCTATTACCATTATAATATAATGGTCATTATATATATATATATACAGGGTGGTCCATCCTATTTTACCCTGTATATATACTTTTTTTTTTTTTACAATGATAAAAATCATTTTAAAAAAATGTTTATATATCTAGTTAGGTTAGATGGCTGTAAAATTTCTAATATATTATTAAATGTCAATGAACTTTTTCCAAATGTATATAGTGTGGATCACGTGGATTTCACAAATAATGTCTAGGTATCACTTTTGTGAGAATTTATATTAATTTTTTCGTTCTATTATTTTGTTTCTACAGGTATTAATTTATATAAAAATATTACCGTTGCTGTACATTTTAAAAAGTAAACATTTTTGGGAACATACGAGTTGATAGTAACATCATTTAATGTACATATAACTATATCTAATTGTGTTTTTATATTTAGGACGGATATATTACATCATTATAATATTGATCTGGGCGGATCTATCACTAGCGGTTTGCTCTGCCGTGGTACAATTTGTGTTATTATTCAATATTGAGTCTTAGTTTTGTCCGGGCTGTGGCAATAAAGTAATAATAATGCTCGTCACGACGGGTAACAAATTAGACGTTTTGCAATACATTGTACAATGGCGATTGTCTGAGAATGTGCGCGCACTTGTCGCGGCCAAAAATCGCACCTAAATCGAGGGCAATCACTGGTGACCATTTTATACCTATATATAAATGTACTGAACATCATCGTCGGCAAATACCAAAGGTTACTTTATTCTATAACCAAAATTTGTCGTGTCTTTTATTATTGTTATTTTTTTCCTTCTTCTCTCTTTGCTGTTTTACACGTCGCCAGTCGACCCATATAAAGCGACGATAAACGCGCTCCATTCACTGGCGGTCTCTTTTTTCCAAAAACGCACACAATAGCTGCCCACAGACGCACTACTAGGCGAAACGTTTATACAACGGGACACCCCGGACCGGATCTGTCAACGATTGCTACTATAATATAAGTAATAATAAACGTACGGCGATAATTTATCGATCCGATCTTTAAAACGATTTCTCCTCCTCCTCCTCGGCAAACGACTGCAGTGAACCCCTTTTCAAAAAAAAAAAAATTATAGTAATAATAAACGCCTTCGACGTGTTATCCGCCACCGTTCAATATGGAACCATATTATGCCTATTATATTATTTTACACTGTATATTTTCATAATATATGAAATGATCTATCAGCTGTGGCCTGTGACTCGGAATTCTGATACCTTTATAAGAGATACATATATACATTAAATTCGTCATGTACATTATATTATTGTAATACTACCTATATAATAATATAACGTGCACTACGATTGTACAAAGATTTTATGTTATGCGAGGTTATGTATACATGTTACACGCTGTACAACATGTTTGTTATTTATATGTGATAATGCATTGTGTATATTGTAGTAAGACGTCGTAGTGGACAGACACGCGAGTGGGCGTTGTACCTAATCGAAATGGTACTGCCGAAAATGTTCATCCAGGTCATATAATATATACCTACTATTTAAAAAACGATAAAGGCACCGACTATGGTTTATTCTTATTAGTTACTTTAGTTTTCGCGAAGTTGTACTGTTGGCATAATCCTTAGCGTAAACCGTTCACCACATTCTCAAACTTGTGTATTTAAAACCAACAGCGACAATAAGTCTGAAAACGGCTTACAGCCGTGCTGGCTGTAAATATAACTCATTTGGCGCCAAATTAAAAACTAGCTTCGTCTCAATAATAAAATTAATCGCAAAAAAAAAGCGAGTACAGTAGGGTCAGGGCATAGTGGTGGCGGAGCATAGTCGAGACGGGGAGGTCACGGGTCTACAGGAATCATTAAAACTGAAAGTTATAATATCACTTATAAAAAAACATTTCAATGCGAATCTGAGTGTCGTAAGTTCACTCACACAGGTTCCAAGCCAATGTAGTCCAAACCAAGCACACAGGACCGTATTTAGGAATTTGTCATCCTGGGGCAACAAAAAAAAAAAAACGCCCTGTTATAATATAATACAAATTTAATGCAATATAAAAAAATTTAGCCACCCCCTCATTATCAACCGCCCGGGGCAACAGCCCCTGTTGCCCCCCTCTCTAAAAACGGCCCCGCAAGCACAGTAATTGTTTTTTTTACTCTACGCTTATGTACTATTTACACGACTTCTAGATAAAGTAGCCACTTTTACACATTTTTTAAAACAATTTCTTGTGCTTTTTTATGACTGCAATTTTGAATTGTTTTTTAGTATTTACGAAAATATATATTTTAGATAACATCAACGCATAATTGTATGATTATCTACTTAGTTAATTATATACTTATTAATACGATACAATACTTAGTAAAATATGTATAATATATATATATATATACCTATATATATATATAATAACAAAACTAAAAATAGCTAAATAGACTTAACTCACAAATTATGGATTTTATAGAAAAAATTGTTAATTATATAAAATATATAATCATGTATATTGTATAATCCCAAATGTTTTTAATTTAAATAAGTACTCATACCTAATGGATAAGAGAGATTATAAATGTTTAATAAGACAAAATAAATTGCAGACAATGTACACATAGACGTTTTCTGTATGTTGTATGATATTATTGAACATTTTTTACATTTTGTTTTATAAATAATAAAATGATACAGCATTTGAAAAAAAACATATTAAGACATCACCTGTGTGTACAAATCCTAAAATAGTATATCTGATTCGAGAATATTGTCTACTTATAATTTATCACTAGTATGGCCTACTCTTTTATAATCCATAACATGTCCTCAAACAATTACAAAAAGCCCAAATTTGAACGAAATTATTTTGTAAATTGAAAAATTCTTTAAAGAAATGTGTTATTTATTTATTTGACTTTTAATAAAGATGGGTATGTTCTAATTTCTTATAATGGGTTAAATAAGAGCTTAAAAAGTTCAGTAGGCTAAGGTGCAGACCATTTAAAGTAAACTATTTGTTAAATTTGTATTTTGTGTAAATTATCATAATTATTATATAATGTACCGTAACTAAATGTTTATTTAAACACAATAATTTCACGAAAGAATCCAACACAACATTGACTCCTTGTAATTATATTAAGTACATATTGTACTTAATTGTACTTTATGTACTTAACTTATAAGTACATATTGTACTTAATTGTACTTTATGTACTTAACTTATAAGTACATATTGTACTTATAAGTTATACATCTGTGCGTCGAAATGTTGGCTTGATTTATAAATAACAAATATATATAATTTTTTAAATATGTATTTTAAATAATAATTATACGGCTATACAACTTAATAGCAATTGTATTTGATATATTTATGTACCTACTCGTATAATTTTAGATATTCTTCAATTCTATGTTATAAAACAAGCTGTCATAATCATTCGTTTTGTCTCGCAGTTAATCTTCAGTTAATAGTTATAGAACAATACAATGTCATTTAAGTTCTCTTTTATATTACTATCTTTTATCATAGCTGCTAATTCTGTACTTGGAGAATCTGAAGATGAAAATGAAGTAATTTGTTATATTAATTTTAGACTATTATTTTAAAACTATTAGTTTTTTGTCGATGTTTTTCTGAATAATTTGTAGTATACAAGTTTAAGTATTCCTATGTATATAGCCATTATTGTCTAGGAAAATATTATCATTTTAGCTTAAGGACTTTCAATTGAAATACATTGTATTTATGATAGTAATAAGTTTTTTTATTGTTAGTTAAAAATATTTTTTGCTAAATATGTTATATTAGATTAATATTTGAATCGTGACTTAATTATTTGAGTTCAATTAGTTTAAGGTAATACATTTTTTGCTTGAAACTTTTTTATCCCAAAAAATATAATATTATAATCATTTATACTTTATTTTATACAAGCTTTGCCATAATAAGCTTAAATAAAGTATATTTGTATTATACAGCAACCAATAAAATTATCTTTACATTAATTTTAATTTTTTAAATTAAAATATACATTTTTAAAAAAAAAAAATGTATGAGTACAATTTTTACTTTTATTAATAATAATATAAATGTATTTTTATTGGCTTTTTCTAACACGTGATATTTTTAACTTTTCTAAAAAAAAGTATAATCATGTAAAATAATGTAATATTTAGTTATATATTTCAAATTATTCATATGAATATAAAATATATTATTCCATAGAAATATTACTGCTAAGTACAATATTTATTAAATAATGGTCAATTATTAGATATTAATACATTTATGTAGAAATTAAAAAAACATGTTGACCGAATCTATTACTTATATAATTCAAATGTTTAAATTTACAAAATAAGTTTATTTATCAACGCCTTAATTGTAAACAACAGTTAAATTAATCATGGCCTAAAAATTAATTATAGGTTAATAGTTAGTTTAATTATGATAAGAACAATTATTGATCTCGGATAAAACGTGAATTAAGTATGATTTAAAAGTCTTTAATGGATAGAAAGATTAAAAATTATCCATACTTAAATGTTATAATCGGGGTGTTTATGTAATGAAGTATATTGATATCAATACCAAAAATTTCAGATCCTTAAAGATTCTTACGATGATTGTAGAAAATGGTGGAGAAAATCTCTAGATAGTACTATTTCAGTGGGGGAGTTTTGGTTTTATATGGGTTACAATAGTATGAATATCGGTATCTTAGAAGATTATTTCGATAACAATCCAACGGCCCGGGAAAAACAAGGTAATATTTTATTTATTCCAATTCTATTACTGATTAATTTTGATTTCACTACCTATATAACAGTCGAATAAAAACGGTGATACTTATTTAACATTTAATAATATTTGTTAGCTTCGATGCGGACCGGAGAATGTATTGTTTTTACAATGATGTGATTTTATTTATTTTTGTTTTTCGTCTGAATCTACCGTCTACGACCAACAACACAAAAACCTGTAGTAAAAAAAAAAAAGGAAAATTACACTGTCACGTATAGTCAATTTCTAGGTTACCATTGATTTTAGAATATTCTAAAACTAATGAGGTTACTTATATACTAAGAAATTATTCTAGACTGACGATCAACCTAAATACTAAAACTAGATAAAAGAAAATAGATCTACAGTAGCCTATTACATTTACAATTTTATCATAAATGTGTAGTATCATTGTAAAAACAATACTTTTTCTGCTACACGTCGCGTCGAAGGTAAAACGAATTGTTTCATCGATAATGCAGCTGACCACTATGACACTATGCCCCTATAACACAATACAGATTATATTAATCTATAATAATCGTGATTTGTGCCCTATGAAACAACTTATATAGGTATATATATATATTATTTATTCTTAAACTAAACATTTTTGTTTTAGAAGTTATAGATTTAAATCTATATGGCGAACTTTTTAAACACCTTTGCAGCACACTTGGCCATACTGTAAAAAGCTGCGCAGCACTCAGAAAAAATGAAGCAGCATCAAGATCAATAGTAGATGCTGTAATGTTGATGTAGGGGTAATCGTTTAGCGGGTCATAAAAAATATTTTTGTTTTTTAATGTTAATATTACAACACCAAAATCGCTATTTTTTCAAATAAATAGCCTTTTCTTACATTTTAAGCAATGTTCATTTTATTTTTATGAAAACAACCATTGAACTCTATTTCTTTATAAATATTATAAATAATATATTTACACATTTTTTGCATAGTACCCTAGTACTTTTTCTAATAAAAATTAAAATAACGTTCTAGCATGGTGTATTTGGGAAGTAGCTTTGTTGTATTTTATTATTCAAATTTCCAAAACAGGTTTAATGTAATAAAACGAAATTTTGTTTTTATTAGGTTAAAATATGTTCTGGCAGTATGAGTCTCGTATAGTTAACATCCGCCCCTCATTATTAAAATTGAACTATTTTAAATCAGTTACTGAAAATATGTTTATACAATTGCATTAACCAGCAGATTCCAGCCCCCCCCCCCCCCAGAAAATTTGGGAATTTTTTGGTGCAATTTTAAGATTAACTGTTTAATAATATGTGTAAAAAAAATCTGAAATCAACATTTTTGTTTATGATGAATGAATAAACCTAAAAAGTGATTCAACACTATAAATGTAGATTTTGAAAACTATTATGGGCTTACTAACTTGAAATTTAGCCAGTTATATAAACACAAAATAAGTACACTAAATAAAAATTGAACAATTAAAAAAAAAAAAAAAAAATTAATCAAAGTTGAAGGTTGAAAAGCTGGTAAATTCTTTTTCTGGTTTTCCCGATGTTAGGGCTGAAGAAACTGATTTTTTCAAATATTGATCCAAGGAAATTTTATCTGTCAATTTTTATCTGCTCGAGTAAATTAACCGAGAAGAAAAAAAAAATTGTGTCTATGGATGCTGAATTAAATAAAAACATATCATTATACAATCAATGTACCATTATCGTTAAGCTCTGCTTGGAAACTAAAAAACAAGTTAACAAGTATCTATATTTTTCAAGTTTAATATACTTACTTCAGGGATGCCGACAACGTCCGTCCTTAAAATTTAATTGACCTTCAACCATAACAATAGTAAAATATCAGGAAAATTATAAAATACAATATTTTAAATGGTGTGTCTTACACAATATTTTTGAGATGAAGAACATCAAATATTGAGTCAACCAAATTGGTCAAGTAGTTTTTTTAAAAATCCGAGATGCAAACATAAAATCAGGGAAGTTTTGACGTATATTATGTTACATATAAAATAATTTATAGACTTTACTCCTAAAAAATACTGATATTATTACCAATAGTTGTTTAGAATCTTATTCAAACTTGATCTTACGTTTTCGACAAAATTATTTTTGACTGAAAGTCTAAGTTCTAGGTATCCATTTAATTTTTTTTAAATCAATTACATCTTGGACCATATGTTTTATTCTTGAAGGAATTTCATTTTTTAGAAGTTAACGCTTTTAACTTTTCAACAGTTGTTTTATACTGTAAATTGTTTATACTTTGCTGTTTTTTTTTAATTTTACTTATTTACCAAAAATATGTAGGTACTAGGGGTTTACTCTAAACTTTTATACATTTTAGTCCGTATGTACCTGTTTCTTATTTTAAAAGCATGTATCTTACTTCTTAGGAAATACCGGAAAGTTAATGTTATTTGTATTGGCTCAGAATTTCCCCCGCAATAACAGTGTTTCCCAAATCAAGGAATCAAAATAGCATTATTCTGAAACGATGTCTACTCTGAAAATTGAAATTTTACATAAACTTATCAAATATACATTATTACCATACGTAATATGCATACGGTATATCCTATCACAATTCACAATATATGGCTACACTGATATGTTGGGGGGAGCCTCTAAAAAGACCTAGCCTTCCGGTATTATTATTTATAGTATTTGATCTTAGTACCTAAAATATTTAATGTTTTTTTTTGTCTCACCTTTTCAATTACATTTACAAACACACACACATAACCGCCACAGTGATCACAGTGACCGACCAATATAATTCCCAAAGAAATTATAGGGTTCGAAAAATATTATAGGGAGGTATATTTCATTTTTATTTACCTATTCTTGCTATGGGAATTTCCCACGCAAAATGGTTCAAATACCCATAATAATAAAGTTATTATACATTCAATATTATATACTATAAAAACAATGCATACATTCCAATGGATCATATTTTGGTATTTCAGATATCTACCAATTAAATTATTCAATTTATTTCCCAGTACCTATGCCATAAAATACAGTAAATCAAAATTTGTGATATTTTAAACCTATCGTGTTGATGCTATTCTTTTACACACAATTCTAAAACTTAAGGAAAAGCTGACACTTTAACATAGTTGGGTTAAATAAAAAAATGACATACACAGAGGCGTGAACTCAGTAAAGAATCAGAAGTCGAACAAGGGGGCCGGCAATTTTCAAAAATACTCATAAGGGTGGAATAACTGTTTTATAAGTGCATTTTACAACCGATCTATACAAATTAATTGCAAAATATTCGAACAAAACAAATAGATTGAAACCGATTGCTATTTTTTGATAATTCGATATTTTCTTTATAGTTGCTGTCTTACAAACGGTTGTCGGAAACCGAAACTCAAATCGCTGTTTATATCATGCAATATGACGTATTATATGTAAAAAAAAACCAGAATACTTGTAGGTATATCTATATGATTGAAACTCATCTGCAGAAAATATTCGAAGACTGTTTGAATGAAATTGTCCAGTTATGTATTACACAGAGGAAAAAAATAAACGTCTGACGCCAACAAAAATGAACGGAGAACTTTATCTCTGCCGCTTGTGCTCGTAACCCGACATTAAATTTAAAAAAAAACCAAAGGGAGGAAAAAAAGGAAGAAATATACATTGGAAAATAACAGTAATAAACATTGGGCTCGAGGAAAAGATATCAATTTCGATGGACCTATCCGTGTACTATTATTATTATTTTTTTTTTTTCATTTCATATAGAATATTAAGATGATCGTCGTGATGGCGTTTGGGATTATCCACGGCATTTAAATATCTTCAAGTCGCGATAATATTTTAACTATACGTTTCACACAACACAAGCGCGCGCTACACACAGACGGATGTCCCTTGGGCGATAATATACACACACATTATATCCGTATACACTTTTGCCCGTAAGACGGTGTATACTTGAGGAAATGTATGTTGTTGTTGTTTTTTTTTTTTTTGTAATTTTTTTTGTTCGTAACAATAATAATCATACCTAGTCGTATGGCGACGATAATATTTATTAATTCGGGAAATTGACGGTGGAAACGATTCGAATAAAAAAAAATCACTGTTATTATACCAATGAGAATTCGCCGTGGACGCCAAGGAGGAGGTGCGACTGCTACACATAAACCCGTATAATACAATATAAATAGGTACACACACATATTCGTATGATACCGTTTAACCCCGGCGTGCCCACTGCATTATCATAATCACATTATATATCTAAAATATATTATTATAATGCGCACCTTGTTGTGATGTGTAAGGCTATAGCGCATTCGTCCGACGGAAAATAATATAATAATAATATAAACAGTATACCTACGTACGATTTTGAATATAATATTATGTACACATTTAATAATGGTCAACGCCGGTGCACAATTATTATATTATCGACGGGGAGGAAAGGGGAGGCCGTTGTTCACGAACAGCGCATAACACGAGAGGCGGCGTACAAATTATACAGGTCCTATATTATGATAAATATAATGTATTTGTATGAGACTTAAGTCTCATTTGATCGATTACCATCTCTTGAACGCGCGACGGGTCCAATAAAGACAACGCCCTTTATCGTTTTGGAAAAATCAAATGAAAAAGCAATGTGAATATAAATATATACCCGTACAAGCTGGTGTATGGGAGGTTCATATTGTGTACACCCACCTACTTACTCCGAACGTATATTTTTCATTACATAAAATTATAATTCTTAAGTCGAAAGTATAGTTATTATATGTATTATTGTTTTATCGTCGGTAAAACGATGATAAACGCGGTCGCAGACCACGAAAAATACTTTCCAGAATGTTTTTTATTTTTTAAAAAAAAGTACAGTATATCGACAAAGAAAAAAATAAAGATATAAACTAAAAAAGAGAAATTAGAAAATGTAAAGCCGATAAATGCGCAATCGGTGACCTACAGCATATATTTCTTAAAAACGGGAAAATGATTGTACAATAATATGCTATCACCCTGCTTTCCCTCGAAAATTGTCACATAAGTAATAAAATATATTATTTATCTCTACGTACATTTTTTTAAAGATTCTGTTGTAGTGATATAATGCTTATTGGCTAAGTTAACGCTGTATCACAATAGTGTTTACCGATCTCTGGTAAAAACTACAAAAGATTGATTTTGGATACGACTAATACTGGATGATTCACAGTACAGTATTGAACCAGTCATTGGCTGGCAGTCAAGTCAAAAAAGTATATCTGAGTATTCTGAAAGTTCATTTTTTTTTATAAAAACTATCTTACAATGAAAACAAATAATTAGAAAAAGTATTCGATACGCCTAACCACAGAAGAGATGATAAGGATTTCAAAACGTTTTTTTCAGAATTGAAATCAGATAAAATGGGAACCTGGATTGTTGAGAATAGAAACATACGTTTTTGTACAAAAATAGAGCTTGTATACATTATAGAAGTTGAAAAAATTAAATATAAAAATAGATCCCTCTTTCCTGTGTTAATACCTGTATAAATGTTTACACTTTTTAATTTAATGTTTAGTTTTAGTAAAAACATACCTATACAATGCGGCCCAATAAATGCACTTTTAACGGAGTCGCAAGGCTCCATAACTGAAAAAAACTTTGTTTGAACTTTTTTCTTTTGCTCGCTCACCGCAGAGGTTACTACTAACATACTATCATAAATCATAATTAAAATTATTGTAGGTATTTCGTTAGTCTTTGACAACTTAAAGTAATGTACCTCTTATATTAGTCATCTTATATAAGAACCATATTATTCTATTCGGTGTTCTGCTACAGTCTACACAGGAACCTAACATGTGTCTTCTTTTGCAGAAACTATGTTTCTATACCTACAAATTACTAACAGTTCACTTGAATACATTTTTAGGTACTTAAACTTTATTTTTAGCATATCTAGACAGGTGTAATTGCTTTTCGAAAGATATTCAAAAACATATTTTATAACAACTTTGGTACTTTTTAAAATCAAATAGTTTATGATACAAATAGTTGTTATTAGTTTATTTAAATTTTAGAAATCTACAAACCTACATTAGAATTGGTATAAATTAATACACCATGTATAAATTCGTTCAAGTAATTCGATGGTGCTCGAGAAAAAGTGGCCAAGTCTAAAATTTGAAATGTTGGGTATTCAAAAATTAAAATTCAAACACGAATAAGAAATAAGATTTTTTTTTTTTAATTTATAACATGGATTAATCTTTTCCATAAACTTTGAAAAACATCAAATTAATGTATAATGAAATAAGTAATTATTATTTACAGAACAAATGAATTAACATACTTGAATTATGCCCTACAATTGTCCTATTTTTTACAAACGTATGACGACTGATAAAATAGTGGTTTGACTTAGATCGTTTTACCCATAACACCATATATTTTTCTGAATCTAGGTACGACATAAACTAATTTTTACAAATTTTTAGACTCCCCGAGTGCCATCGATTTTGCTTCTTGGTGAAAAAAAAATTGACTACACAAAACAGTTCCAAGCTTTACCTATTTGTATTTTTTACTGCACATATTATATGTAATAGAACGCTATCTACCGTTTTAAATTATAACAACTCAGAACTTGCAGCAGCTTTCAATCTAGTGATAGGTCATAATTTTTTTATTAGAATTTATAAATTAGTACACATTAAAATAATGCTTTTCAGTTTCTAACTTTTAAACAAGAAATAAAAATTAATAACATTTTTTAACCTCAAAAAAATCACCGTGTCCGATAGACGACACGTCTAGACATTTTTTATCAATATTTACAGTTGACGTTATCACTGAAAATGATAACACAATATCACCGGATAATTTGTAAAGCACATTTTTAAGTTGAAACTTTTTTATTCTTACTTTAGGCAGTTAGATTTAGTAATTTATTTAGTTATTATAAATATTTATTTATTATTTATTACAATATTTGTGTACGTATAGTTTTTACAATGCATTATTTAATTATTATGAATAACTTTAGACTAGTAAATGTCTTATTAACGAGAAATGTATTAAAAAAAATAAAAACAATAATTAGTCAAATTTATGTTTGTATTAGCAATAGCTATGCCACCTAAAAAGGTCGAAGCACCTGAAAAAAAGCCGCTCATTGGTCGTGTGGGCACCAATTTAAAAGTCGGTATTGTCGGAATACCAAATGTTGGCAAATCTACATTCTTCAATGTTTTAACAAAGAGTGAAGCAGCTGCTGAAAATTTTCCGTTTTGTACCATCGACCCTAATGAAAATAAGTATTCATTATTACCTACCTTCCACCTAAAATAATTATTTTAGAACGTTCATTAAACAACTCTGTATATAATAGCGTGTATCAACCAATAATGTTGCAAGTAGATAAAGATAACATTGCACTCCACCTTTCTCTTGCCTAAAGATATGTACCTACTATATCATAGTATTTCTAAATAATGATAAGATATTTTTTTTTCATTTCCTTTCAGCAAGTCGTGTACCAGTCCCTGATGCAAGATTCGATTATTTGGTCGAGTATTTCAAGCCAGCTAGGTCAGTATTAATACCAAAAAATTAAAATTTGTTAGTATGTTACCTTTTACAGACAATTGTCTTGAAATTATTTTCTGAGAAATGTTGTAATCTATAAACAAAATAAAAAATGTTAAGTTTATTATAGTGTATGTTGCGCATCCATTTAGTGAAATTGTTTACATTAGTAAAAAGGAACTCATTAAAAATTTACATTTAAAAATAATAATTCCATTAAGCGAATATCTTTTCAACAAATGGATGATGAAAATTCACATTGTTTAATTTTTTTTTTATTGTTTAGCCAACCAGTTTGTGAAAACAAAAAACTTTTAATTTTAATTTATTTTAATCATTACATATTGTAATTTATTTTCCATATTTTAATATGGAAAATTTTATTTAAACTAATGTCCAAACTAAACTAAGTTACTGTTTTTAAAAAAATTGACTTAGTTAAATTAAGAGTTATTTGAAGAAAAAAAATATCAGTTAAAAGTTAATAATGAATAATGAACAAATTAAAGGTTTTATGTATTTATGCTTAATAATATACTACATTGATGATTTTGCGCCAAGCTCAAAAAGAATCGTGCATTTTATAAAATTATAATTTGCGTATATTACACGAACACAAGTTCTATTTATTGTACGTATAGGCTATAATAGAAGTTAATTTATTAAAAAGATAAGTAAATAAGAACCATGTGGTAATACTTAATTGTAAACAAAATATAGCTCTGTGCTCGCCCAAATGAATGTTCACTTAGAAACTCTGTACAATTACTAAAAATTTAATGAAACAGTCTTAAGACTTTAGACTAGTGATAAAACACAGTAGTATAATTTTAATATTAAACGAATACAATTTTTGAAAAGAAAAACAAATTGGAAAAAGCTGGGTTGGAAAGTAGCGCAGTAATAACGTGTCGCTGGGGAGGGGAGACTCAATTTGTATTAATTAGTGAGCAAAACGGTGTGTGTAGGCATTGAGAAAATCTTAAAAAAACCTAAGAATAAATCTCGCGATTCGAATATCAATGGCACCACATAATATTAGATTCTAGTCAAAACAGTAGTTATAACTTTTAAATAATAATAATCTTTTCGTTATTCAACTCTGTTTTTCTATCCATGTACTCATTTTTAACTATGGTGTTAGGTGTATACCAGTAAACGAAAACAGTGCACGTTATTATTATTATTATTTTTTTTTTGAAAATAATACGATATACTTTTTTTTCTAATAACAGAAGCCGGGTGATTACTCGCGCAGTTAAATTAAATGGCCTAAGGTCGTGTTTACAATTAATGTACGGTGCCAAAAAAAAAAAAAATTGTCTGCGGCGGCGCAACAATCTTGTCCGGTAATAAGTGCCCTCGAGGGTAGAACAGGTAAAAAAAAAAAATGGGAAAATAAGAACCATCGCTGGTACCCTCTATTAATAAGGTCCGCGGGGAAATTGCTCGTTTCATTCAACCTCCGAAATGGCTTTTACTCTACTAGTTCCCACCGTATGATGTAAAAAGAACCTCGGGGATGGGGTTGATTTATTGGTAAATCTCGGTAGCTAATGTGTAATTCCAGAGGACAAAAAATATCCAATCAATGGGTCGACGGGCCTTGTAATTTCCTCGTCCGCCCCCGCCAACGTGATTGAACTTAACGTGTTTTTAATTTCAGATGGAAAAAAAATATATATAAATATATATACATATATTGTTTTCATTATGATTGCTATTGTTTCAGCAAAGTCCCGGCATTTTTGAACATCGTGGATATTGCCGGGCTGGTAAAGGGCGCCGCCGAAGGCCAAGGTTTGGGAAACGCCTTTTTGTCCCACATAAAAGCGTGCGACGCTTTATTCCATTTGTGCCGTAAGTATAAAAGTCTGTGTACGGTTTTCAATCTAACTTCATATTCACAAACGAAGATCCCCAAGCCAGTGCGCTATTTATGTCTTCCCTTTTCATTTTGCCCTATACGCATGTATGAAACAAGCAGGGCTATGAAAATAGATCGAGGCTATAACTGCAACCTAGTCTCAGCCTCTTTTTTTTCGACTAAAGAAACGATAATAATTATAGTGGCCCCGAGGTAGGGAGGAGATTCACATGAGTAGAATTTTTCCGCAATTATAACAAATTTCAATAGTCATGCTCTGAAACCGATAACCAAAGAGCAAATAAGGGGTGTAATGAATAATAGTCTAAATTGATCGTTCAACGATTATAAACAGGCATTAGAATAAAACAAAAAAATGTTATGAGGATAATAGCGACGAGATTGACATTCATTGAATTATTGAATGTCATTCGATTCGGATTCGCATGACCACTGAATGTTGTTATCTTAGGAAATGTCAAAAATCAAAGAAAGTAGTGTAGAGATGCCAAACGTATTTTTTTATGTAAATAAAAATGAAATAAATCGCGATTAATAAGATAAGAAAACAGTAGAATTCGAAATTTATTCTTGTAATATTACAAAAATTATTATTATACCAAGTTGTTATGCTTAATTTTTAGTCTGCTAATTGGTAACTACTAAATTCTAACTAAATGTTTTTATATTGTATTCAGGTGCGTTTGAAGCCGAAGATGTTATCCACGTGGAAGGAGAAGTTAATCCTATCAAGGATATGGAAGTAATTAACGAGGAGTTACGTTTGAAGGATGAGGAATATTTTAATGTCAACTTGGAGAAGCTTGAAAAATTAGCTATACGAGGAGGAGATAAAAAACTAAAACCCGAATACGTATGATATTTTTTTGTTTTATTTAGTTTATTTTTTTAAATACTTAATTATTATTTTTGTTTCAATGTACCTCCAGGACACTTTTTTGAAAATCAAAACCGTTTTGGTCGATGAAAAGAAACACATTCGATTTAGTGATTGGAGTGCTCTCGATGTAAGTATTCAAATTAATAAACCCCTCCCCCTCCTTTCTTACGACGTTAACAACATTGGTTTACTATTTTCAGATAGAATTTCTTAATAAACACATGTTTATCACCACTAAACCCGTTATATATTTGGTAAACCTTTCGGAAAAAGACTATATTCGAAAAAAGAACAAATGGTTGATTAAAATTAAAGAATGGGTTGACAAAAACGATCCTGGAGCAATAATTATACCTTTCAGTGGTGTGTTCGAAAACAAGATAATTGAAATGGAAGAGCCAGAGCGCCAAAAATACTTGGAAGAAGTTCAAGCTACCAGGTAAGGTTCATTTGCTGTATTGTGTTTTACATATTTTCTTTAATTAATTTATACATTTTTTATTTTATTATAGTGCCTTGGATAAAATAATTGTTCAAGGTTATAAAGCACTTCAGTTGCAGTACTTTTTCACTGCAGGCCACGATGAAGTTAAAGCTTGGACCATTCAAGTAAATATGAGTATACTAAATAATAATTACAGAAACCATAATTTGACACATAGATTATTGTTATATTTTTAGAAAGGTTTTAAAGCACCACAGGCGGCTGGTCGTATCCATACAGACTTTGAAAAAGGTTTTATAATGGCAGAGGTGATGAAATTTGACGATTTCAAAAATGAGGGTACTGAGGCCGCTTGTAAAGTAAGTAGTCGAAAGTTAACCATGTAAATCATGTAATTCTAATTTTGCTTTTATATATTTTTATTCAAGGCCGCCGGGAAATACCGCCAACAAGGTCGGAATTATGTCGTCGAGGATGGTGATATTATATTTTTCAAATTTAATGCTGGAGCTGGTCTGAAAGATGCGAAAAAGAAGTGAAACGACCTATTTATCAATTGATAACAATATGCTATAAATAATAATATAATGATTTTCTATTATTAACAAAAAATAATAACTTTTGGTTTTATTTTGAAAATGTTTCTATATATTATTTTGTCAGTTTTGATCACGGTTTAACATATCATGTTTTGATCAAATTTTTGTGAGGGTAGAAAAATCCATATACCTGTACACAATGTGCTAAGTTTTTAAGAAATATAAAATAAAAGTACGCAAGTTTGAAAAATAACAAAAGCAAGACTTAAAAAACCATAATTACAAAATTTAATTGGTCTATTTAAAATGTTTAAATAATATACACTATATTAATATTATGTATTAAAAGAAAACGTTTCTAAAAGGTAAGTGATACACCATATAAATATATCCTATTAACAATAATGCAACTATTAAGAAAGAACATAAACAATAGTTTCAGATTTCAACAATAATTATTTTTAAACTTTTTACTTCATTTTCAGTCACTTTTTTTGGAATCAACTCCTAGTCGATTACCAGACATTTTTCTGGTGTAAGTCTGTAAAAACAAAAAATTAGTTTCCAAACAAACTGCAAATAAATAAAAAAAATTACTACCTTGATAATCCGCCTTATTTTTACTTCTCTTAATTTTTGTGGAATGACCATTGAAGTAGTAATTGTATTTCCCAGAAACAAAACAAAAAATAGTCCTGCCAATACGGGTACCTAAAAAAAAGGGTTATTGTTTGGTAGGCGGCCACGTAAAATCACGGTGTTTGGGTTGACGCCTGGTACATTTTTATTCTGAATAGAGTAGAATAATCATGAACTACAGGTAATCAGATAATTGAAATTATTTTATGTCAAGTTTAAATTTAAGTTTTTTTTAAAAATTCTAAATGATGTGGGACTTGAAATATTTTTTCTCAGCTTTCAAAAAAACCTACTAATTTTAGTTTTTGAACAATTATTTTCTTATTTTTCGAATTTTACGACGTAGATTAATGATGTTACATTGATATTCTATTTTTCAACTAAAAGCTTCATAATTGTGGTCTCAAGCTGTCTTCAATTTTCACCGTAATGATTATATATAATATGTTAGTACCCCACCATTATTGACTGATGTTCTTACTCAATATTTCAGTTAGTAGAACATTATGTTCATTTACTGCTAATTTTAAAGCTATGTTTCTATTTAACAGGAGAAACCACTTTTCTTAGTTTGTGTACCTTATTTTTTAATTTTGTTCTCAATCTTATTTTACACCACAGACCTCAAGTTGTTATAAACAAGTCTTTATCGATCTAACAAGTTTAGTCAAAGCCCCGATCAGTCATAACTCATAAAATTTTGTATCTGATATATCATACGCATGTTTAAAATCTAAGAGCAGTAAATTAACGCATGTACGGAAACTCAGCCGATAATAAATAGCACTATATATTTTATAGTCACTATGTTTCTCACCTGCCAAGTCGCATCCTGATGATAACATAGTTTATATAACGTATACGCGTTGTACAATTGAAAAATGTATCCTAGATATAGGAACGGCAGTAAAAAACTAAGACCGCGCCACATCCATGAATGGAAGCCTTCAATCGTAATATCCATGTTATGACGTTCGCCTAACGCCTTGAGCCTATATAAGACTCCTTGTTGATAAACAAATTGGAATGATTGGACTATGCCTAAAAATAATTGTATAATTTCAAGTTTAACAACAAACACATTTTAACATTACAATTTGCTAAAAATCCACTTACTGATGAGAACATTAAAAATCATAAATTGCGGCCTGAATATATACCATGTCTCCGAATTAGGCCAAACTAGAAGAACAGCCGAAGCCACGGTAGATATAAAATGATGCATTCGCCACCAACCTTTGATTTTTGATCCGTTCACTTTCAATATGCTTTCTCGAATGGTTAACGTGCAATAATACCAGACCAACAAGAATAAAAAGGTCAATTCGAACGCTCGTCTTTTAGCTAATAAGTTCAAAAGGGATAAAAAGAAACCGATAATGCTAAGAACCAACTTGAACTTTTCATACTCGTCTTTGTAACGAAACCTAATAAATCACGTGGTTTTTGGTTTAAACAATGTTGACGACATTTAAATTGAGTATAATACATACTTATCTTCCTTATTCATAATAGATACATTTACACTGCCTAGAATAATTTTTAAATATCTTCCATTTGGCTTTGGCAATGTTTGCTCGATGTCTGCTAACTGTTGACGACGTTGATTTACGTCTTTCCATAGTCTTTTTACTATATCTTGCCGCTCGTCTTTTTCAAACCTTTAAAATATAACCAATGTTAATGTGAGCAATAAACTGTAACAGCATGTAATTTATTTTAAATACTTTTTTAATGATTTGGCAATGACATTTAATCTATATTTTTGGTGAGAGACTTGTTTGACACATTGTCCTTGGAGATCTCCTACTTCTTCGACCTTGGCTAAATACTCTTTATTGACGTTCTGAAAAAATAACAAAAAATATTATTTACTAAATTGAATAAAACAATTTTTTTTTTCTTTTAACATGGTCTACTTGTAGTTCAGTGCGTTGAACTTGGTACGAGATATATCGAGTTTAATTCCCACACACAAAAACAGTGAGTTGTCCACATCCCACATCCCGATACAAACTTGGATTATTTTAGGTGGCGTTATTTATAACAAATGAATTAACAATATTATACGTATACATATTCCATTTTGTATGATCACACGATTGCCTTCATACATAAAATGTATATGCATATATATATATATATATATACATATTATACTTAAAAAAAAAAATTGAATATATTACTTACAATGTTACTAAATTTAAAATGTAAAATATACATTTTAATTTTGCATTTAAATGAGATGGGAAGGAATAGTGAAATAGTATTCTCAAGTACAAAAAAAAAACTATTTTTTTTATACAAATTACAATGATGCAATGTCATGAATTACAAATTAGATTTTTTTAATTTTTAACGCAAAAGAAAATTTGAAAGTTATGAAATTGCTTAAGTTGTTTACAACTTTGAGAGCAATTGGGATGATTGTGCAGGGAAAAATATTGTGTTGTTAAATTTGTATTGTTTTTATAGGAAAAACTGTACTCATTGATTATATATACAATAATTGTACATAATAAGTGTAATCAATGGTGTAATTAAAAATATTCTTTTATTCTAGCCTCAAAAGAATTTTGCTAGCATTTCAATGTTAAATAAAAAACAAAAATGAGAATGTTTTATTACCCAAGAAAAACCCAAATAATGCTATATAAGTTCCAAAATGAGTACTGATTTTTGCAAAGAAAACAGATTTAGAAAATTTTAAAACAGACAACTAAAAAAAAAATATCAGATGTTATATTAATCATCTAAAGTTTTCCATCTATAATTTATAATAAAGTTATATTAGTAAAATTAATGATTTGCTACTGCTACTTGCTTGTTCTAAAATGTATTTTATTTTTATTTTTTAGACTTTATAAATATACATTTAAAAAACAATTCTTATTGAAAATGTACCTTACTTAGGAGCCTCAAGTGTTTCCTATAGCAAAAAATATAAACGATATATATATATACACAACTACCAGATTTTAACATACCTACTTTATACAACAAACTAAATCTAAATAATATGTTTTAAAACATGTGAAATGTGAATGCATTCTGACAAAATGACAATAACTGAACTGCCTGTAGAATAGAGTATGTAAATAAAGTTGTATAACTTACCTCTAGAGACTTGTATTCTCCAGCAATAGATTCCCAGTTTTGAACACATTCGTCCAAATCGGCACACTCCATTATTGTGTTGCTGTTGGATGAAACCGATCTAAAGACGTTTCTTAGATGGGTCAAAGTTTAAATGCGCGACTGTCAAGGTTAAAAGTGTTACTATTTAACAATAATGGTGGGCCGATGGTGTTCGTAGGCTGATCGGACCGTTGATCAAACGAAGGCATTTTCTTCGTGGCTCTCTTTCGAGCACATTATTGAGGGACAACAGTAAAAAATTCAAAACAAATTCAAGAAAAAACACTTAGCGTTCAGTCTACTCGGACCGGGCCACGGGTACATCGAAATCGAATAAAGCTTGGCACTTTTTGACTTTTAACTGTGATAATCAACTTTGATAACGGCCAATGCGAGCTCTCCTTTATCAACGAACCCAACACCAAAGAGATTGGAAACTGTTCAACGTAAAATAGGTATCCCCTTCAAGAATTTATTTTCCAACGAGAATATTCTAGAATTTCACCGACGAGTCAATATGACGTCATGGTTGCACTGTGTACAGCTGTTTAAAAACCTCACTCCACTGTCCATAGTAATTAGCGAATAGCGAGACAAGGTTTCTATTCAGATTCGACAAGTTCAGTCTACAATTTCCTAGTTTATAGTTTATTCCGGTTTCATAGTTCAATATCCATTTTTCTTATTCAACTCTCAACTTGCAATCAATATATTATTAAAATAATTATTATTTGTACGAAGCGTTTATCAAACTTACACAATGGCAAGACGTGGACGTTCACCATCCCCGGCCCCGAGAAGGTAATTATTGTAATAAAAAAAAGTACTTTTGTATTTCATAACCTTACTGGTAAATCCTAATTGTGTTTTATAACACCCTATGTAATGTTATATCGCCAGCCAAGTACAAAATCGTTCATTTGTCAATAAGGTTAAATTTAATTTACATCATCAGCTTAACGGCCTTTAATGATGATGGTTTCTTGACGAAATTTAGTTATGAATAAAAAATAAAGACTTTTTAATCGCTAAAGATTTAAAGGTATTCCAACATCAGGCAATCGTTTTAGACATTTAAATATAACATTTTTTTTTTAGTTGATGAGTCAAATGTTATTGTTGCCTGGACCGTTGACAATGTGGTTCCTCATAATATTGCTCAATAGATATTGCATCGTTTCTGTACCTGTTTAAATTCTAAAATATTATAATTTTACAAATTAAGAACTTAAAGCAGTAATATCTATCTCTTTATTATAATATATTCTTATATAATTAATAATATGTTTACAAGATTTTTATAAATACCTTATAGTTCCATATAAATATACATTTTTTTTATAATCAATAAAGAAATCAATTTTTTACTCGCATGAATGACATTTTACAATATGTATACAAATTTTAGCACTATACGATTCTTTTCAATTGAATTATGATTTGGTACTTATCACCTTGGATGTTTTTGTGTGCTCATCCCATCAATACCCTGTTTAAATATCCAAAATACTATTACTGCTATTACTGCATGCCTTAAAAAAAGTTAAAAATAGTCATGGTATTATTGAATTAGATTGCATAAAATGTTGGCAAGGTTATTTGGTGTTATTTAACAAGTTTTATAATTACCTAATATTGTGCAATACTGTGACGTACATTTCAACTACCTAGTAATAATAACAAAAGTAGGAATTGTTGTGTACTGTAAAAATTCAAGTATAACATTTTTTTATTACTTCCTAAGTACCTTTGGTGTGACCTTGTGCAATAAAGAGCAAATGTGCTGGTCAAATCGTTCAATAAGCAACATATATATTTTTGGAGACAATTATTTCGATAAATAGTCGTTTCAACTTTTTGAGACTGCTCTAGTTTAGTTTTTTTGCTGAACCTGAGCGCAACTTTTTATTATACTTCTTTTTAATACAATTTGCTTCAAATTTATACAAGTCAAATTATAATTTTTTTTTTTATCCACCAAAATTAGAGTTGGTTTATTTCCTTGGATGTATACTAAGTTAATAGACAACATTTTTTATAGTAACAACAAATTCAATTTTCATTATTAGTCTTCTTTGGCTTTTGGTGTAAATTTGCAAATTTTCAAAATACTAAAGCTTAAGGTTATTCGACCTTATTCAAAACTGAATATTACCTAATTTAATAAATATTAATTAATTATTATTATTAATTTTGATTTATTAAATCAAACCATGAGCATGTTATATTTTTATCTTGCCGCTTAAATTGTTTTTCATATTTAGTCTGGCAAGTAAATATTAGTGATGGGCATTCAATAAATATTATTATTTTCAATTAAATTATGTACCGTAATCCATGTTGACTGAAATTTTTTCAAAAATGCATTTTATTGTATAAATAAAAGTGTTAAAGAATATTATAGAGCATCCATAGAATATTATAGACCGGTTCTTTTCCTCTTATAAGTTATTTCATATATTGAATATAAAAAAGTTCTAAGATTTTGTGTAATATTTAATTACAAAAGTAGCGTTCCTGAACAACTTCAAAATTATCAGTCATACCCCTTTAATTACGAAATTAGTAATATAATTTATCAATTGACAGACACGACAACCGACACTTTGTAACATTTCGAGTTCGCTGTTCGAGAGAAAATTCGATTATTTTACTTATAATTCAAATTATTTGATTATTCGACTATTTTTATCATAATCAAAATATCTCGATTGTTTTCATAATCGAGATATCTCAATTATATATCTCGATTATGGCCATCATTTGTAAATATTGTCCATTAGTTTTTTTTTAACACTACAAACATTATTTTTATTTAAAATTTCATGTAACAATTTTAATTTTACTTAATTGATTTATAATTACTAATATATTCATCAAGCTTAAGTATAAAAAAAACTTCGATAGTATATTTATACTATTACCCAATACATAATTGTTTTCAGAATTTAAATGAGGCGCGTGGGGTTATTATTTTCCAAAATTATAAAAATCTAATTTCGAACAAGCATAACTAACTAAAATATATTATCCAGCCAAAACAACAGTAATTACGGTATCATTATTTAACTTTTATAAGGTTCAGTGAATGTTCAATGATCTGCAATGCAATAATGTAAATTTTACATGTTTAAAAATATACTTAAAATGTACAAAAATTGTTTAAAAAAATGTTTCTAGCCCTTGATTTAATACCCTTAATAATTACTAACTTATTATTTTTTAAATCCATAGGTCTTCAGTTCCTTCAAGAACTGTTTCAAGTAGCCCAGCGCCACAACAGCAACACACTCAAGTCGGTGCACCGGCTCAACCAAAACAACCTGGGTTATTCGGCCAAATGGCAGCCACCGCCGGTGGTGTAGCTGTTGGTTCTGCTATTGTAAGTAAATGTAGTTTAATTTTAAATGTGTGGTAAATAAAATATTAACACATTTAATATTTTAGGGACATACCGTGGGACATGCGGTAACTGGTTTATTCGGTGGTGGCGGATCTAACAACGAGGTACAACAAGCCCAACCAGTTCAAGCTATGCCCATCGACCAGAGCAACCAACAAGGTGGAGCGTGTGCTTTTGAAATCAAACAGTTCTTACAGTGTGCTCAAAACAATGATGATATTTCGCTGTGTTCTGGATTTAATGAGGCTATTCGTCAATGCAAGGAAGCTAGCCGTAAGAATAATTTTAATTATTAAATATATAATCATTTAACACAAATATTAAGTGATTTTGAAATTTTATTTTGGTTTCAGGTATGTTTTAAATCACCTCATCATGAAAAATAAAAAGTAGTGATCAAGCAAGAACATTAGATTTAAAAATTATACAGTGTAAAATAAATGCAATACATTACCACCATATATATGTTATTATAGTTAATGTAAAAAACAAAACATACATTTTTTAAGTTATTTATTCATTAACCTTCTCTAGAAGATTCCTAAGCAAAAATTATAGTTATAATAAGTAATAAAATAATAAAAGATACTCTTCAGCACAAAACAAATTGATAAGTATAATGGTAGTATTTATTTATATCTGGGTAGTAATGCTACAATCATCAGCGCTGACAACAGGCAAGAGTCTGTGATATAGTTATAAATAATGATAAAATCGATGTTAATTAAAAATTATATTTTAATAGTCCTTTAGCATGAATATAATGAATAATGATAGAATTTGTGTTGTAACTACTAACTGGGCTAGTATATCTATAATAAATATAATTTTTGGGATTAAGGGAGATTTTTAGTTTTCAATATTAGATGAAATGTCAATTCTCTAGTACCTAACAACTTTATTTTTCCGACCGCCGAAAAAACTGTTGGATATAAATTAAAACCCTTCTATAGATAATAAATTTACTTATAATTGTGTTGGTTGATTTTTTTTTAATTTCCTTAATCAAAAATGAGTTAACAAGTTTTTAATTAAAATAGTTATTTGGAATTTTTTAAAATAGCCAATAAAACTACAATTACTTATAATACATGTTTACATTAAATAATGTAAATTTGTGTAATACCTAATATTAATATTTATTATTCATTGAAAAAATTAACACGGTTTCTATGTGTTGTTGCTCCACATTCCCTGTACTCCCCACGATTACTCTTCCGTCCTACATGCTCTAGGCCATCCAAGCCTAACTATCTTTATAATCACCTTACATTTAATCATATTGTAATAATGTTATATACTATTTACATATTGTATTTTAGGCTTGACCCGTATCATAAATAAATAATTGTAAAATAGTTTTACACTATGTATGAATAAATGCTAGTGTTGACTTTCCCTTTTTTAAAAATTAAAGCTAAGTAATAAAATACATAATATTGAAAATCGGACATGACAATGACAATCTCTCCAAAATATAATTGTTTATATGAAATTAAATTTTTCGATTTCATAATAGGATGTGTTTTTGCTTTAAAACACACCGTTGATATTTTTACTCTTAAGTCGTGGACCAGGTAAAACGAAATCTACTTGGCTGTTTTGGTAAAAAAAACAGTAATGAAAACTCGCTTAAAAAAGCGTAATACACCATAATACTAAAAATACAATTTTAAGCACATAATTGTCATTACAATGTTTTTATTCAAATTTGTATACCATGTAAAGTTTCACATCGAAGCATATATTTACTATGCCCTGACTCTCACTGTGTTATGTTATAAATTATGTATTTATACATTTTTAATTGTTTCTCAATTTTACAAAAATAAATTTCTATCGGGCAACAACAATTATAAATGTTGATGTACCATATTTGTTTATTTTGTTAATTAAAAAAAGGATTTATATTTTATAAAATACTGTGGCACTCTTTAAGCACTAAAGATTAAAATTTTAACAATTTATTTATTAACCATATGACACTAATAACTTTCAGAGAAATGAGAATAGTTTCAAATTAGCTTAAGGTATACTTTGGACATAACCCTACCATTAGTTTAAAAACCAAACATCAACCCTTTTCTTTCCTCGCTGAAGAGATTAAAGTTTAAACGCTTTTCTTTATTGCAGGGTGGTTTTTGCACTTTAGTTTGGAAATTGGACCTACCTAGTACTTGTGACAAGTAAAATAAATCTGTAGGTACTTGATGTGAACTGTATTGTAAGTATTCAATTGTAATTTGTAGTTATTATGATAATTTTTTTTAACCTACAAATTTTAATCCAGGCGAATTTTTGTAATTGATATTATCATGTTCATTTATACTCATTCCTAAATACACATCCCGCATATAATGTGACTTATCGATGTTTACGCTTAGCTTTTATGTTATTTTATTTGTTCAAATGCTACAGAAACCTGTAGCCTATAAATCGTGTTTTTTATTTTTTTGTTATTACATAGATATGATTATGCACATGAGTATTACATTTTTTTGTAAGAAACTACAAAAAAAAAATTGTTCTTTACTATAATGTGACGTACACGGCTTGGAACGTAAGCCTTCAATATAATATTATATTTTATATACTCTAAAATAGATTTTCCAATTTGAGTATGTTTTATATCACGTCATAAAAAGTTTCGTGACACTCAAAATAGTTGAAATTTTAATAATGAGTACTTTTTTAAAAATGTCCTTTAGGAACAAGTATGTTTTCGGAACACCCTGTACATTAGTATGTAGCACCTAAGTATAAAATCTAGCCGGTAAAGTCTGAATTGGGTCGTTCTCTAAAAATAACAAAGTTTGACATTAATTCTTGTTGAATTGTATGACTAAGAGAAAAAATTCCATTATTTGCTTCTACAAATAAGACTAACAATTAAGTTCGTTAATTTAAGTTTACAGTTTGAGAGATAATAGTTGTCTTCAAATTTACTAGCTTGAGGGGATTTCCACATTAAACTCTTAGTTCTACCGAGCAATGAGAATCATTTAATTTGCTTAACGATTACATTATGTACTGAAAAATATACGTCATGTTTACTTGATAATCTCGATTATATGGGGAGATTGGTGACCAACCTCGATATTTACTTGAAAAGTACTCATTAACTGTCTGGAAGTACAGACTTCTATTTTAAATGTTTGTATAAAATACATTTTTTTACATTTATAATTTTTTTTTTATTGAGGACTATGAATACCGAAGCTATAAAGGATATTACTACAAACTACCTATAACGTGATACTTTCAATGTGAATATCTGTGGATTATTTCAATGTTATGTGGTGTGTAATTTTTAATGAATTCCAAAATAAAAGGTATCTAAATTTGCTTGAAAATTGATTTTACATTAACTTGCCCTGTGTCTATAAATGAAATAACAGAATAAAATAGAAACAATTTTAGTGCGGTGATTTAATTATATTTTCAACTTAAATATTATTGAAGAAATTCATAAAAAAACAACATTTATCAACAATAGGCTAGACATGCAAATTTTGAACTATGTATTTTTTTTTTTTGTTGATATTTTCAAAAACAGGTGTGTGCTATTTTATATTTATGATATCGTCGACGGTCGACGGTTTTATAATACATATTAAAAAAATACAACTGTTTTCTTTACTCGCGTTCTTACGCGAGAAAATAAAACTTAGTTATACATAGCCCATAGGTTCGTTGAAAAATTGTTTTCCATTTAGTTTCGATAATACATTTACTATTTTAAAAATCTTTGAGCTTGTATTATTGTTCGTACTATTCAAATTTATAAACTAAAATCATTATGAAAATAATTACTACAAAGCATGTCTTGTGTGTTTTGTTTATATGTTTAGCCATGACATCAGGTATGTTACACAATACTAAATTATAACTACTTCAAAATAGTTGACTCGTTTTTTTTTTTTGGATCCGTTTTTGCAACAAAGAAAGATGTATGTTACCTACTAGATTGAGTTAGAGTCGTGTGTAGTTTTATTAAAACATCTAAAACGTTTACAAACTACAACACTTTTTTTTTATTTTTGCTAGTTTACACATAAAAACATTACAGTAGGCCATAGTTATATGTATATACAGAGGGTAGCCCACAATGATTTGACAAATGAATAACTTTTATTCTAGTGAATATTTTAAAAACATTTGTTTTAAAATTAATTTATACTCATTTGCGCTATAAGCACCACGTTTTTTATTGCACTTAACTATTTTACTTTTTTAAATCATTTTTTTTTTTCAAAATAACCATTTTATTAAGAATAATTTGCTGAAAATGTCGAATGGTCAATAATCAGATTTGGATGATTACTGTTTAAGTTATTAAAGGTTAAATAGTAGGATGGGAGATGGATTGCGGTATAGAAAGCGTGTAGATCAATTTGTTATCTGCGCGCATTACTCTACCGCACTTCACCTCCTATCCTACCCTTTAATCTTTAATAACTTAAAAGTAATCATCTAAATCTGGTTATCGACCAGTCAAAATTTTCAGCAAATAATTCTTAATAAAATGGCTCGCTTGATTTTCTTTTAAAAAATGTAACAAAAGAAATAAAAAAATAATTAATAATAGGAAAATAGTTAAGTGCAATAAAAAATGTGTTCCTTATAGCGCAAATAAGTATAAATGAATTAAAAAAAAAAAATCTTTAAAATATTCACTATAACAAAAGTTATTCCATTTGTCAAATCGTTGTGGGTCACTTTGTATATATGTATACAGATACATATATATTGCGTTTCAAACTTAAATATAAGCTATAATTAAAAAAAAATTGTATTTTTACGCTGTAATTATAATTAATATTAATATTAGGTTTGAGGAATGATGAAGACATTAACAGGAACAGTACAGATGTGGAAAGTAACATTGATGATAATAGTATATCAAGTGATGATGATGATTACATCAGTGATAGAAATGATGCTCTAGATGACAATGGCGCCGCGGATAATACTGACGATGAAGATGATAGGTTAAATTTCAATGCGATTATAACTGGCCAAGCAGTCAGACAGATACAATCGGCGTTGGAAGAAGATGACGACATTCGCAAACAATTGTTGTTTTCTAATGCAAAATATTTGTTGTACAGAGCTGGCGATGAAGACGATCTGTTAAACATAGCTCCGATCACAATTGACCAAGCTGACATACAGATACAATCGGCGTTGGAAGAAGATGATGACGTTAGACAAGAATTATTACTTTATAATGCAGCATATTTGTTATACAGAACTTTGTTACTAAATTTTGGTTATAATACTTTGTTTATGGAGAGCAGTAGTAATAGTAGTGAAGAAAGTACCGGTTTAAGCTATGATAATAATCCGAACTAGGGGAGAGGAAGCCGCAGTCCCAATTATTTTTTTGTTTCACCCTTTCAGTCATAGTGTCCCTTATATGGGAAGTCTATTTTTTTGTTCTTGCTTTATGGATATTTTTTCATAGGTATTTCAACATTTTTAATTCAGTGAAATTAAAGTGACGACTCATGTCATCGTTTTGTAAAAAATTTACAAAATTGTTATTCTATCATAGGTTTTGATGTTCCATTTATAAGCTTTCAAAATAATATGTTTTAATTTATAAAACTAATAAGGATCACGGCAATAAATTGTGTGTGTACTTTAATTATGGTTAAATTTTGATTCTTGATTTTTAATAAAATACATTAGTATATTTTAATATACTTAACAGTGAACATGTAATGTAAAAATTAAATAAAAAAATCTTGATAATTTTTATTAAATTTTCGACAAAGTATACTTTTTTACTAAATTAATATCTCAATCTATCAGCTATAGCCTATAGGGAAATTTAATTCTTAACAGCGCTTAATAAAAAATCTATCAAATAGGTTCATAAAACGCACTAATTTTAATAATTATAAATTGTGCCAACAACGGATCATGTATTTATTTTTGCACATTTCCCGTTTTTAGGTACCTATAACTCAAAAACTAAGAGGGCAAATGTCTGAATGAGGTAAAACTAATTATTTATAGTGTCTTTATACGATTAAAATTGTTATTATTTAATATGATATGTGAGTAGGTATATAGGTATTGTAAAAAAGAAATCATGTTTAGCCATGTAGTTATAATTTCAATTACACAAATTTATAGTTATATTTTATTTTTACAAAACTCATTTTTATATAATATTTCATAGCCATTCATAAATATTTTCGAAAACAATAATTTTTAACAATATGGGGGAAAAAATGATTTTATAAAGTAAAAAAAAAAAATGATTTAACAAAAACTAAATACCTAGGGTTTTTAAAAAATATTTTACTAAACTAGTACCTACACATTAACTTAATAAACTTAAATTTAATTACGTAATACAAATATAAAAGTCTTGCCTATCTAATCATAATAATTTTAAAAAGAAACAAATTAACGAGATAAATTTTTAATTTTCTACTTATTGATATTATGCTAATATTAACATTCCGTGTTATTATTGAAATTTGTTTAATGAACTTCTTTTCTCCAAGAGTTGCTTAGCTATTACATAGTACATACTTAAATTGTTTTGAATATAATAATTCTATTTGGTATTTTACAACTGTAAAATAATATATAGGTGACCAAATGAGGCTCTTAATATATTTATTTATGCATTATTATAATTTGAAAATTATAGTATCGAATAATTGAATTGATATATATATATATTAATATTTGTACATTCAATTCAATATCAATTTTACACCGACAGTTAGGTGACGTATTTTCAAATCGCAAAGTTAATTTTATGTTTCGATAATTAGACATTAGTGATTAGTATATTAATAACTATAATAATACATGCTAATAATTATACTTGTATATGATATTTAAAATCTGGTTTGACTTATTAAAATTATGTCACAAGAAAGGATTCACAAAAAACCGTTTATATATTGTGTACAAGCAAGTAAGTCTTACTACTTTAGAAGCATTTAGTAGTGTTAATAGTAAACACAACGCTATATTATATTGAATTTTAGTAAGAATCATTTTTTTAATGAGATTATCTATCTAATTAATTAATGATTATTTTGTTAGTTGATACGATGTAATTTAGTGGCCCTTTTTATAAGGACTCGAATAATGTCAAGTGGAAGTTAAATACTCAGATAATGTGTAGTTTCACAGTATCCTAAACACATCATTACATCATGTCAAATTGGCACGCTTTCATTTAAAGATCGACGAAACCTTTGAGAATCCGACGTCTCAACTCAAAACTACACAATTTATTATCAATTTAGTTAATTTCAATTTTTTACGCGCTTTCAGTTGATAGCGTAATAAAATCATTATGCTTGTTATAACCAAACCAAATGTGTAATTTCTATTATGTTAATAATTTTTATCAATTGTTATCATACAACTTGGGCATTCGGTCATAGGTTCCCATTTCCCAAATGATAACAAGTTACCACTTTGGTTTTGACTATGCCCCGCTCTACCCCGCCCTTCATAGTCCTTTTTTTTTTTAATAGGTTATAACCAAGTTATACCAATTGAAGAATAGGATCATTGATATTATATTCTAAGTATACTTGAGTATTTAAACAATGATAGGATGGCTGGGAACCTATGACAGCTTGCCCAAATTCGGAGTGACATTGCGCTGGCGATGTTTGTTGAAAACAAAGACGTTATAAGTGGATTTTTTTAAAAACAAAAGTTCCTTGTCCTCAAACCTTATCACTATTCACTTGTCGTCTTTTTATCATTAGTAGAACTTGTTGAAAAATAAAAAATATTATTTATTCGCTAAATTTACCAACATGTTCTGTTTGTACATTATCAAAAAATAAGAACGTAAAACCATTGAAAACAAAAATTTTAATACACTTTGTGTGTAATAACATTATGTGAAATGTGTATTAGCATAAGCTGATGTAGCTTACAGAAAACTACCATTTCCGTAGTGAACACACGGTGAATAGAAAACCGCTTCAAGCAGAACCAAATCGGTGGAAACTCACATATGGCGCGGGTCGTGGAATAAATTTCGTTTAAATTAAGTATTTGTTTTTCTTTGGTTATGCAAATAATCGACTTATTACAGTGAACACCGAATCACCAGGCAGAGTTTGTATTACTAGACTATGGAGAACAACATGATGACAAAAGAGGAACAGCCTACGGACAGTAATCACGGTAATAGAAACAGAATGCATTAAAAAAATATTTATGTATATATATTTTTTTGGGTTTATCTAATTATTTTTTTCTAAACTTCATATTTCAATATATATAATATCATAAATCTTTTTGTATAGATATTTTTGTTTGTTGCACTGTGTGATATTGATTTGTTTTTTTTTACACATTTTGCATGATAGTTTATGTGATTCAGTTTATTTCTATATAAGTATTTTACTCAGGTGAAATACTCAAAAGTTAAATTTAATTATTACTATTGTTCACAAACAAAACTGAACCACTCGGATTTTATTTTAAGGAAGCAATATTTTACTGGTTTTTTAAATTTTATTCTTAAATAAATGTGCTTATGTTGGTGTTGCACGCTGTTTATTATCGGCAGGTCCATTGACTCTGGACTCGCTTCTTAAACAAATTGATGAATTGCAATTGGAGAAAAGAGAGTTTGGCTTACAACGCGCCAAAATGAAGGGGTTTATACTGCAAAAAGAAGGTGACCAGTACTGCTTTGTTGCTTTTTATTATTGTAAATACCTACAATAAATATAAATATATATGTAATACTGATATATATATATACTTATAAATTAAGTAACAATTATTTTTCGCCATTTAATTGGTTTTTATATAATATATTATAATAAATGTTTTTAAATTGAATAGAGGAGTTAAAACATATGATCAACATTTCGGCCGAATTAAAAAGGTTGCAAGACGAATTAGACGAATCACAGAGTCAACACACAGTGACCAAGTTGGAAATGGAAGGACGACTCGAAGAAAATACGCGTAAATATAATGAAGAAATGTCATCCTTACACAAAGTGCTTGCCGGTAACAATTGGTAGATATAAAATATCCTGGTAACTAATAACTAAACAAATGTATTTTTTAGAAACTTTGGATGAATCAAGACGACGAGAAAACGAGTTGAAAATGATTAAAACTATGAATGAAAAGTTAGAAAATGAACTTAAAAATTGTCGCAATCAAATGCTAATCGGGCAACAAGGCAATAACATTTTAGGTGAATCGACACAGCAGCAGATACTTAATGTTCCAGGTACTGTTCTGTCGGCCATTGCTAGGAAGATGACCAACTTAGCTTCCAGCACGGAATCTGATGATTTTAGAAAGGTAAATCTTCAATGATATGTAGTAAATATTATATTTTTTTTATAAATACGCGTAAACGTTTAGTCTCAAGATGAAGAAGAAAATGTGTACAAAGCCTTAGTAGACCCTTTAAAAGAAGAAGTCGAAGCGTTAAAGGAAAAAATTCGACAAATGGACACTGATATTAGTTACTATAAAACAAAATTAAATGAATCAAAAGATCTCGTTACGAAACAAAAACATTTGGGTGGTACGTAATTAATTAACATATGTTACCTCAATATATAAAAAATATATGGTATTTTTAGACGATTCCCAGGAAGGACCTTCTAATTGTTCGGCAGCAGGCGATTCTATATTTTCAAACACATCAATAGGTAACGTAATCCAAATTGATCTAAATTATCTACTTAATCTCAAATTCAATTTAATCGAATAATTTATAAATTAGACGACAGTGTATCGAAATGTGATCAATGCTCGGCTTATAAAATATGCGTTGAAGAAATGCAAGAACGTATAACTGATATGGATAAACGTTTGCAAGCAATGGATAAATTGAAAGACGAGCACGACAAAGAAACAATTTACCGTAAGCAGATGGAAGAAAAATGGAATGAAAAATTAGAAGAACACAAAAACAAAGTATTAGCAATATATATATTTAATTAATGTAACCTAAACAATTACAAGAGTTTATATATTTAATAAAAGGTTCAAGAATTAAAACAATTCTCTGATCAATCACACGAAGTTCTTAGTGATATTAAATTGCAGTACGAACAAACTGTGAATGATTTTCAGAAAGAACTAAAAAGTTGTACTGAAAATGGTGCAAAAATGAAACAACATATTTTCAAGTATACTTTATTGATATTATATATATTCAGTTTTTTTATAATAATGATCAAATCATCACTGTATATTTTGGTTTCAGGTTGGAAGAAGAAAATCATAATTTAAGAGAAAAACACATGAAGTTTTCGGTTCAACTACAAAATGAGGATATTAATTTACCAAATTCTGTTGGAGTAAGTCTTAAATATTTTTCTATAAATATTAATTATTTTGCTTAATGTTGTCTTTTATAATTTTTTGTTGTAAAGGAACTTCAAGAATATCTTTTAAAACGCAACGAAGAGCTGATAGCTATGTCAATTGTAAAAGAGTCGATTGAAGAAGAAATGAATAGAATTAAAAACAGCTCCGCTATAATTGAAAGTCAAGTGCAGGGTTTAAATACAACTGTCGCTTTCCTTGAGTGAGTTAATTTTGTTTTTTTTCAATCACCAAATTCTTATATAAAATTATTAAGATAATAATATTTTTATTTGCTTAGAAAACAACTGTTGGATGAAAGAAGTAGGTTTTCGGATGAGATTAAAAATACCAATAGATGCGAAAAAGAGTTAATAAGCTGTCGTACTCAATTGGAACAAGTTACCAAAAAAAAGGTAATTTGGTCTCGTATTGTTTGGATTTTATTTATGCTGTGGAAACGATTTATAGATAATTATCTAGTTGATTTTATCAGACACAATGTGGGTTAGGTTTTAGATTTAGAAAATTTAATATATTGCGCTGTCTTTTTTCATTCATTAAAGTTGGAATTGTTTAATTAGTGTATTTATTGTCATTGTGACTTTCTGTTGATATTTTCCTGAATTGAGTTGTGACATAAATGGTGTTCTTTAAAAACTACCTATTTACGATAATTTCTGATTTTGATGTGTTATTTATTTATATTTAAAATTTTAAAATGCCTTTTAATAATAAAACATTACAGCGCAAATATTAGAAATTGTTTAGAATCAATTTACTAGGTTTAAATTTTAAGTAAACTAATTAAGTGTATTGTAATTACTTGTATCGACTCAAATAACTAATTGTTTTTTTATTTTTGTTTAATCCAGACTGAACTCGAATCAGCAGTTTTAGAACAACGAAACAAAATAATTGCTTTGCAAACAGACTTAACCAATAGTGAAGAAGTACAAAGAGATTTTGTTCGTTTATCTCAGTCGCTCCAACAGGAACTCGAACGGATTCGAGAGTCTGGCACTTTGGTAATCAATTGCATAAAAAAGTACAATTGTTTTTTTCCCCTCAAGAGTAATTATTCTTTTCACTTTTTGGCTGTTTCAGGTGCGTTGGGAACACGAAGAAGACATTAACGACTGTCACGATTGTAGAGTTGTATTTGGGGATCCGAAAATTCGAAAGGTGTGTATCAGTGTACCGTTCATGTTATTTTAATAGTAGTTGTTAGTCCCCACACCAATAATTGTAATATCTTAAAATAATAGCAATTTATTAAATTTTGATTATGTCAACTTTATTTCAAGTTTCTCCATGATAGGTACAATTCTTAACAGGGCTTGCAACCAATTTAGTTTTCAAGGGTTTTGAGTTGAAGAAACAAATAGAAAAAAAAATATGATGTTGATTTTATTAAAAATTTTTAATTTCAAATATTTTAGTTCGGTGTAAGTGCAATAAAAAATGCAATTTTTGTTTTGAGTGCAAAATGGATTGTTATAATTGTGAGCTACATTTAGGAAAGTGAATTCATTGTCAAATTTCATATAGTAGCTAAAAAACAAACAAAATCTTCTTTAAACCTATATATTTATAATGAACTAAAATTATTTAGGAAATATTTATTATTTATTTATATTTAAACTTTCTTTACATACTGTTTCTTTTACTAAGTGCTTTCCATTATAGGTAGTAACAATACATTGACTGAAATAGTAATTTTGTACGTAATATTTTGCCAAACTGTTATTCGCTATAGAGAAAAAGTAAATACGTTTTTAAATACCTAAATTTTTTTATTACTTAGTTCTTTTGTAAAAATAACCATTGTTGTTTTTGGTCAAATTCGAAACTAAATGATACGTTTTATTTTTGTCGGCTGTTTTCAAGTTTTATTTGGTTTTGGTTTGGAATATGCCAGATTATTTAGATTAATCGATTTATGCTCCATTGTGGTTCCAAGCTCTAAATTTTAACGTACATTTTTTGTTGACAAGAGTTAGGGCTGTTTTAAAAAATGATAACATCCTTGTAGAATAAACGGATTTTAATCATTTTTTTTTTTGGGCTTCAATTTTTGATTATACAACCAAAAAATAAAAAAAAAACAGTTAAAAAAAAGTGGTCATAACCAAAATCTTACTACAACTTATTTTATTTGAATCTTCCTTTTAATAAAAAAAAAAATATATATCTATATCAAAATTCGAAAAGTTTCAAGATGTCTCATCACTTTTCCCACAAGGCATTTTTTTTTAGTAAAAAAGCGCGCTTACATTTTAATTTGCTTACACCATTTTTTTCTAGTCAGTCTTTGATAATTGAAATCAGTTTCAAAAGCCACTAAGTCAATTTTTTGAAGAAATTTTAATTAGTTAAGGTTATTTTATTAAATGGAGGGCAAAGAAAAACCCACTATCCATCTAAAAATAAAACTGTTATGTTGCGTTGTAACAGTGTTTCAATGTTGTGTCATAACTGTTTTTCTTAAATATTTCAAATTGAGGTGGTGAGGACATAGAGGCTTTTGGAATGAACTTAATTATAATAGTATAATCATTTTTTTCGAATTTTACTCAGGACCATTGTCGTCATTGTGGTAGAGTGTTCTGCCCTTCTTGTTTGTCGAGAACGGTGAAGAGCGGACCTAATATGAGAGACTCGCATGTATGCAGAGTTTGTCATACGCTGCTGGTTCGCGATTCCGCTCCGTACTTCAGCACAGAAGCTCCACATCAGTCCAACTAAAAAAAAAAAAAATATATTACAAACGTTTACCCTAAACGGTGATACTAGACATAGTTATTACTATTAATTATATTCTTTGATTGGTTTTAGCGTTTATTAATTATTATATAAATTATAAAGTTTTTTTGTTTTTTTTATCCTCCTAAAAAGTTTTATTTTCAGTGTTTATACAAATGTTGTGACCTTACTAAATGCTATTAAATTTTTTCTTTTGTCAGAAGTACTGTTGTCATGCTGCACGGTATATTGTTTGTTCATAGTTTTGTAATTTAATGTATACATTTTAGAATGCTGTTAAAACCATTGTGTGTTCTACAATTGTGTTGTGTTTATTATTGTTTATTTTATACTATAGTAAATTAATTTCTCGGGATCGGAAGACTTGGGACTGCCGTCTTTAATTTTTATTACATTTTTTGCCTATACATTTATTATCACTAATTATTGGTTAAAAAAAAAAAAAAACGTCAAAAACCCTATTTTTAAGGACTAATTAAAAAAACACAATTAAAACCTTAATATCAATAAGTAGCTTTGAAATATATTTTTAAAAATCTGTCATGCAAGAGTAAAACTAGAAAAAATTAAAAAACTAGAAAAAACTAGAAAAAATTGAAAAACTAGAAAAACTAGAATAACCTGAAAAAATTGAAAAACTAGAAAAACCTGAAAAAATTGAAAAACTAGAAACACTAAAATATTAGAAAAAATTGAAAAACTAGAAAAATCTGAAAAAATCAAAAAACTAGAAAAACTGAAAAACTAGAAAAACTTGAAAAAATTGAAAAACTAGAAAAAATTGAAAAACTAGAAAAATAAAAAGATAGAAAAACTAGTTTTTCTATCTTTTCTAATTTTTCTAGTTTTTCTTGTTTTCTATCTTTTCTAATTATTCTAGTTTTTCTAATTTTTCTAATTTTCCTAGTTTTTTTAGTTTTTCTAAGTTTTTCTAGTTATTCTAGTTACTCTAGTTTTTCTAGTTTTTCAAGTTTTTCAAGTTTTTCTAGATTTTCTAGAAAAGATAAAAAACTAGAAAAACTAGAATAACTAGAAAAACTATAGAAACAAAAAAACTAGAAAAACAAAAAAACTAAAAAACTATAAAAACTTTAAAAACTAGAAAAACTAAAAAAACTGGAAAAATTAGAAAAACTAGAAAATCTTCTCTATCTTTTCTAGTTTTTCTAGCTTTTTATAAAAACTAGAAAAACTAGATAAACTCAAAAAATTAGAAAAACTAAAAAAACTAGAAAAATTAGAAAAACTAGAAAATTGGAAAAACTAGTTTTTCTATCTTTTCTATTTTTCTAATTTTTAAGTTATTCTAGTTTTTTGGGTTTTTCTAGTTTTTCCAGTTTTTTTAGTTTTCTAGCTTTTATAGTTTTTTTGTTTTTTTAGTTTTTTAGTATTTCTAGTTTTTAAAGTTTTATAGTTTTTATGTTTTTCTAGTTTTTCAAGTTTTTCTAGTTATTCTAGTTATTTAAGTTTTTCTAGATATTCTAGTTTTTTATCTTTTCTAGAAAAAGTTTGTAGTAGAAAAGTATAAAAGTTTTTATAGTTTTTTCAGTTTTTTTGTTTTTCTAGTTTTTTTGTTTCTACAGTTTTTCTAGTTTTTTTTTCAGTTTTTCTAGTTTTTAAAGTTTTTATTTTCTAGTTTTTCTAGTTTTTTAAATTTTTCTAGTTTTCTCTAGATATTCTAGTTTTTCTAATTTTTCTAGTTTTTTGAGTTTATCTAGATTTTCTAGTTTTTATAAAAAGCTAGAAAAACTAGAAAAGATAGAGAAGATTTTCTAGTTTTTAAAGTTTTTATAGTTTTTTCAGTTTTTTTAGTTTTTATATTTTTTTTGTTTTTCTAGTTTTTTTGTTTCTATAGTTTTTCTAGTTTTTTTTTCACAGTTCAAACGTTCAAGTTCAACTATGACTTAAGTTATACAAATAGATTAGGAATTTGATTTGCAATCATAGTTGAACTTGAACAGTCCACTTCCGTAAGGAACAGGTTATTCAAGTTTCCCTACAACTTGAGAAGTTTTGAACACACAAACATCTCTGACTTCTGGAAAACCATACACCATGATCCCTGGTTGTTTTTGATCTTAAAAAAGTGCCTTCAAAAGTGGCTTTATCTATTTTCTTTATAATTTGGCCAATGTAGTACAAAAAGTTCATATTTTTACTCCCATTTTTCTGTTTCTTTTCACCCCTAAAATGGCTTAGGTCATTAAAATTGACCTATTAAAATGTTTAAGTTATAACAGTAAAAAATACTTACGATTAATTAAACTTAATAATATTTTAAATACTTTAAAAGTAAGAAAACAAAAAACTTTAACAAAACAACATCATAACGAGTAACTTAGATTTTAATAATAATATGATATGAAAATTATCACGAGTGCTTGTCAATGTTTATCCGTACGGATGTAAAAATAAATTCAACGTTTAGTATTACTTGAATTTCGTACTAATGTGAGTTCGATTTAATGAAGGTTTTAGATTGATAACTTGAAAACTCAACTGTGGGGACATCGAAGTAATAACTTTTCAGATTTTGTTTCTATTCACACCATCGTTTCTATTCACCCCTTTTTACGGTAATATACTGTTAGTATCCTTAAACTAATACAGTTTTAAATCTAGAATATTAAAAGATACTTGTATCTCAAAGGGTAAAAATATTCAAACAATAATACAAGTATTAAAAAAAAAAATTTAAACAATCTTAATTTTGTTTAAATGTAGTTGAAAATTAAAAATATTTAGCCAAATGAGATATCAGTGTAGTGGTCATAAATACAGTACAGTTCATATGGACGTTGAAGACAGGATAATAAGTTATTCAATAAATAATCAACTGAATTACACTTGATTAATAATAAATTATAATGAGACTTTTTAAAATAAAATTAAACAATATATAAAGAGATTGGAGATGATACTACGATGTCTAACAGCAGGTATACAGAATTACTGGGTGGCGTTTATACTGTTAGTCTGATACAGAATTTTCTTCCAGGGGTTTTGGACAAAATCCAATTAACGTCAACAACAATATAGTGTCGAAAATCAGTCTATGGATTACTACAGTGTCCATGGAGAAATATATGATATGTCCATTTAATCTTCCTCTGGTCACATGCTAGCTGAAAAAACAACAAATGGTTAAATAATAATAATAATAATAATTATAATATAAAACCAATTTTAAATAATTTACTAATGTTATCGTTTGTTAATTGTGAAGTTAAAATTAAATATAATGAAAATTGATAATGACATTTTTTTATACCATTTAACTTCCAACTTTTTATACCATTCAACAGTGGCGAGGCATGGGTATTTAGATCAGGGAGTCATTGAAAAAAATGGTGTTCCGTGACTTGACAGGGGGACTGCACCCCCTTGGACCCCCTGTATATTTTATTTTATCTATACTGTAAAAAATAAATGTTCAAAAACTAATAAACTAAATGGCATAGGCATATTTGAAAACGTACAACACGACAATCGATACAACGTACATTGATAACGGATAACTGATACCGTCTACCAAAACAATAATAATATGAATGACGGTCGGTGAGACATGTCTCATAGCGCAACGATAAACCCCCGCCGTTTTCCATTTCTCCCTGCATACCGCGCCCGGCAAAAGAGACAATTTTGAAATTGTCTCATTTATTTTTATACTAAATTTGGATAGACCCGGCGGCCGGCAGCGTGACCGCCCGCTGATCCGCGTCCACAACTACTCTATTCTAAGAATACTATTACAAAAAATATATACTTTTACATTAAAATTGGTTAAAACATTTTTATACACATAAAATAAAAACAAATTTTTGTCCGTATTATAAGTGGGTAGACATTGTCTCTTTGTCTCCTATGACGCTTCGCCACTGCCATTCAACTTAAATTATCTATCAATAACACTTAGAACAGTGATTTCATGAATAGACTATATATTTTGTGACCCATATATAACAAGTGGACCTAGTTTGTTATCTCATTCCAATGAAGTGTAAGATCTATAAGTAAATGCAATTTTTGTTGTACAAAAACTAACAATGTTAGAAAATAGTAAATTAAATTATTAAAAAGAATGATAATTTACATTTGATTTCTTTTTTTTTATATTAGGGTATTTTAGATTGATATTAAACTACTATTGTATCAATATTTGTATTAGTACTACAAATCTAGAGTGTTTTCCTTACCTCTTAGTCTGTTTAGACAGATGATAAAACAATTATTTTTTCCAGTTAGTGTCAATGGAGAACTGTTCTACCATCATCTTTGATTCATCTTAAAACTGAAAGATATATTATTAATAAATAAGTTAAAAGTTGAAATGTTAATTATTAAAATAATAGAGATTAAATCATTAAAACAATTTTACAAAAAATAACTCCATACCTGTTACCACACTTAATCAGACTAGAGATAGTTTGAGGAATCGAACCGCTCTAATGAATAAGCATACCGATAAGCTTTTTATGACTTCAGACGACTACCATCATACTGTAAAACATAATTTACTTGTATTAATAGTTTTATTTAAATAGGATGTAATATTGTCAGACAAATTAGTACAACATAGTGTATGTATGAACTTTGTCGCTAGGTACTATAATTGATAAATATATTATGTTATTCATATTAAATATTGCAAGTTTATATAATGTGAAAATAAGAGTTTATAATTATGAATTAAAAAAGAATTCTAATAAAAATATTTATTTAATATTAATAAGAAACGAAAGTAAATTTTATTTACCAATAATTATGGTTGTCGTCATATGAACTAGTTGGTTTTTTGTCATTATAAATGTATCGTAAAAATGTGTACTATTTAAGAAAATATAGTATATTATTTTAACACGGTTATTTTTTTTTATCACTTGAATTATTACCGTTTGGTTCTAGAGATAACAGTTAACTCTGATAAACGTTAGCTATATTTTAGTTACTTTAATTCTGATAGAATTGGCAGACTGATAGAATGTGATTTTATATTTTGGTGTTTCTGGGTTGGTCACGCTGATAAAATAAAAATTGTGTTATCTTTTGGAAAAACTCTTATCTTTTATCATTTTTTGGAAGAACTGCCCCAAACACTCCAAAAAGATACCGCGTAAATGTATAAATTAAAATGGTACAATTTTCGCTTTGAATTTGGCTACACTGTTTTTTATATCAACGCGTTCGCTATTTAGATCTGACTCGGGTACTGTGATGAGATATATTATTATCAAAATATGACGTTTACTGGCGCATATTGTTATTATTTTGTGTCGTGCCGGAATTACTAAAAAAAAATCACCTTTATTGCCGAGTGTTCCGTTTTAAAAGCAAAATATTCAATTGAGGCTAACGAAACAAGGCAATGTCGGATTGGGCCACTTAAAACTACTAACATCCGTCCCAACTTCAACGACGACATGGACAATTTTTCACTGGTAAGTTGTTATCCGGACACAAAATTATTAAATAATGATCTTTAAAACGAAACACGATATAAACCAAAACCTGTCCATAATCATGTGGTTTTACTTAATGTGGAGTTATATCTATGGGTACATAAGAAAAGTAATCAAATGGTTTCTGCATAAAACCACCAAACTCTGCGAGCTACAACGTATATGTTACTTGCAATCGGCTGGAGTGAGCCGGACAGTCGGCGTGGAACGTTGTTTGCGCAGTTCCAGTAGGCCGCAGATACGTGGCTTGCTAACTGTGTTGGACGCGCGTGCAATGGACAGAAATTTCTATTCTGGTCGAAATATTTTAGTGCCCAACGCAGTGTCCACCATAAGTCGGGTCAAACGAATCGACCAGTGCGAATACGAGCGGTTCACCACCTCTCTGACGCAGTGTATCGACGACATATGGTCATACATGCAATTGGTTGAAGAAATCAAAGCGACGGCGGCAATAAAATATGATTGTTGTAACGACGTGCACGAAAAATCTTTGCTTTTGCTGTGGAATGAGTTGAAACCGGACGAGCATTTAGAAAACAGAGTGACGAAACAGTGGCAAAACATCGGTTTCCAAGGGGAAGATCCAAAAACAGATTTTCGCGGCATGGGCATGTTGGGTCTCGACAACTTAGTTTACTTTGCTTCCAAGTACACGCATTTGGCCAGAAGTGCTCTCTTGCGGTCAATGCACCCGATCCACGGGTACGCTTTTGCCATCGTGGGCATTAACTTGACAAGCATGGCTTTGGGTTTGGTCGTAGACGGCTCTGCCAAAACGCATTTTTATAACAAACGCAATGCGCCAGAGTATGAAGATTTCAATGAGTTTTATTGTTATCTATTTTGGGAGTTTGACAAATTTTGGCATAACGCAAAGCCTAAAGATCTTATGGAGTTCACCATTCACCGTGAGCAGTTTGAAAACAATATTAGGCAAAGGCTGGGGAAAAATGATACTGTTTTTCAAATTGATGTTCCTACCGATGTAACGACTGAAAAGTTCGAAAAATTGTAATCTAATTACTAGTATATACATTTATATATACATAATTATTGAAGTACATAATATAATTACTATTTATACTTTGTTAAGAAAATTGGTCATTAAATAAAGTGAAAAATTAAAAATTATTGGTGGTTTATTTAAAATTGATTATATTTTTAATTTAATTTTTTTGGCTTTTAAATTTATTGTGTACATAGTTTATTTTAATATTAATAATTTGCTTAAATATATGAGTTTGTGGTATAAAAATTATGTTTTATTATTTATTGCGTTTCATGAATAAACATGTATTTTATATTTTTAATTGAACTTAATTATTTACAACTGCAGTCTATAATTGAATGATTTTTATAAGAAAGGGCACAAGTAAATTTTTGTAATTTTTTTTTCTATATCAATTTTATATGAAATTTTACACTTGGTCAAATAGTCACACTGTTATTCTTACTTGGGAGTTTTTTTATCACAGTTTTTTAAAACGAGTTTGCTCATAATTTAATAACAATGATTTTTTTTTTTTTGTCAAGTCCAGAAATAAGTTTAAAAATGACTTGTGCTCCTTTTTATAAAAACTGTCCATTTGTCGTCAGTTTGATATCGAATCTAAGAAATGTATTATGTGGTCCACCCCCAAGATAAACCACATTTACAACTAATAAGTTACATAAGTCTTCAGTATAATAATAGTAGGTATTTTTGATTAAAATTATTAAGATAATCTAATCGGAATGTTTTAGGTGTCAAAAAAACAACACTGTTGGGTCATATTGTTTTGATTTATATGCCTATCAAAATCGTCTAAAATTAGTGTTAAAACTGAATTCTTCGACATTCAACGACAAGTGTAAAACTGTCACAGTGTTTGAAGTTATGTTTTCAACAATGTTCTGATCAACGCTTCATGGTAAGATATAAAAATATGTTAACATTGTGTGTATTAATAGTGACGATTACCGTCGTTCATCAGAGCTATTTACGCAATTTATAAATTGCGATAAAAAACAAAACAAATTGCTGGTATTTACATATAAGGAAAACAATAACATAATATATAAACTATAATGTGTTAAATATATTTTTTACATTTATTAGTGCTCATTGTTTTCTTCTAAACTTTGGGTATTTATTGAATATTAGAGTATTAGAGAAAATAGTAATATTTTGTTTTTTTTACTTTTATATGGCTATACTAAAAACGAAATGTACCTAGACATTTTTTTATATTTTAATAATATTATCATAAATAAACCTAAATGCATTCTTTTTAAAAGCAAATATTGTTTTTATCTGAAAAGCTCGAAAACCAAATTAAGATGATAAACTCTTATGGTCGTAAAACAGTTCTAGCGAGCAAGTATTCAAATATAATTGTACTTTGAATATAATATGATCTAAAATAATTAGAAAGCTGTAGATAAATGTGTTTAAAAAAATAAGTGGACAAGTTGCTGTACGATAAAAGTAAATTAAACAATATTCAGCCTTTGGACTAGATAAACTAAACAGAACATATTTTGAATAAGCGGTTGAAACTATTTAGTGTAGATATTGGTCAATGATTTTATATTAATAAAAAAAAAATCCAACTGAATAATAAAAGTAAATATTAATAAAATAAGAACAACATTTTGACGTTATCATATTTTTATGTACATAATGTACAAACAATAATGCTATGTCGTTGACAGACATAGCGCAATGTATTATATAGGAAAATTGGATATAAATCCATGATCGTTAGTACTGCAGCTGCAATAGTTAAGTACAGTATTTAAAAACGAATAATACTTAAAATTAAAATAAATTAATCATTAAAAAAAAAAAACTATTTAAAGACTTAATATTACTTCCGATACGGTTTGTTTGAAAACTGTTTGTCTTCAGACTTTCGACTTTGGTAGTTCGTTAATCTCAGTTTGTTATATTAATAAGCGTACGTACACGGCTTGTTATTATAAAAACAAACCATTGACGTATGCTTTACATATTATTAGTCAACAAATTAATGATAAATAGAAAAAAAAATAGAGGAAGTTATTAACGTAAGACTTTGCACCAGCACAAACTGGCTGTTAGAATGCCATTAACGGACGTATCTCTAATCCAACCAATATTTCAGGTTGATTTTCGGTATTAACGGCGATTTACACGTTATCAGTTCGTTAGCAGTTGGCATGGGCTTATAGAAAACGCGTTGCTGCATCGACATGACGTTGTTGCTGTTATCGCAAAAAACTCTGGCCAGTGTCACTCTTCTGATTTCGGCCAATTGCTCTAAAAAAAAAAGCAAAACGAACCACATTAAAAACATAAAAAAAATAAATATATCATGCTACTAACGTTTATTGAACACTCCCGGTAGATCGTAGAAAAATCTGTCCGCTTGTCTAGTTCTCGTCAACTGTTCTCTAATAATGCACTTCATGGTCGGACCCACCATCGAGTCGGGTTCGGACTTTTCGAACAGAGCCCCTATTATCAGGTCCACGTCGTCCACGCTTTTATATTGTTTCAATAGCTTATTGATCGACTACAACCGAAAAATTTAGTCAGTAGACTTGTTAGGGTGCATGTGTTGAATGCGTTAGGTAAACAGTGAAATATTGACATTCGGAGTAAAAAGAAAATTGTAATCTATAACGATGGAAAGACCAGCTATGCTGTAAAGAAGTGTGTTGGGCAGAAACAGACTTATTAATGATTGAAACTCTTTCCTTCAAGGGAATGATTGATTTTTGTTTAATCCCAGCCATAAGACAAATTCTTGTCAAAAAATGGATTGAAATGGTTTGGGCTTGTTGAAAGAAGGGAGTGAGGGAAGCGAATTAGATGTATGTGGAGTGATTAAAGAATATATATGGATGGGGCGATAGATAGGGCTGGTTTGATTAGCCGATCCTATTTGTACAGTAAAGAACATGGAATCAATCTGTGGAAGGCATTGTGTGATCACTTACTTCTTTGACCATGACCTGCAAGAATTCGTCAAAACTGTTGAGATCTTCAAGTCCGCAATATTTTCTAAACTGAGTGTAACTCGGCAGACCGTGATCCCGGCCACGTTGTATATCCAAGCTGACCACATCCATTCCGCCGAGTTCGTGGTTGTCCGGATCGCTGAACAGGTAGTTGGTCATCTGAAAGCGACAAGAAAACACCGAAATTCTCAAACACTATATAATGATTGCAGAGAATTTAAAACAAAAACTTACGGTTTTTGTATACTTCATGTCTATTTTCTCTGCGTTTTGCATGGTCAACCCTCGGATGAGTTCATCCAGGTAATTAATTTGCACGTCGGCCGGCCTGTTGAAATGGTCTTTCAGCGACACACTGCTGTTGGCTGTGCGGTTCTCGACGTACAAGCTAAATCGTAGAGGAAACGATAACAGGTTAAGTCAATTTTTCCCTTGAAGAAAAGACATTGATCATGAATATGGCTTAAGATCGATTGATTTTCTGATTTTTTTCTCCTCTCTTCCTACCTTCTCTACACCTCTCACTTTCACTAGGGATTAGTGATAAGATGAATTAAATCAAATAAATCGTCAAATCTGGATTAACTAAATCTCATCCCTCGTCAGTTGGGCCTAACTTAACCTAACGTGACATGAAAATATCCACGCAAAATTTGGATTGACCCTTGCCATACAAAATACGTCATAAGTTACTCTACAAAAACAAAGTACAAGTAAGAAGACTAAAGAATAGCAGGCGCGACGCTACTTACCCCAAATTGTCATTAATCATGGAGTTGGCAAATGGCAACACGGCCGTGGCGAAACTGTTGCTAACCGACGGGTTTGCGTCCGGGTCGTAAAACGTGCTGTAACCAGACGTTAACAGTTCCAATCCGTTTTTCTTGACAAACTTGTTGCCCATCAATGCTGGCAACCATTCGTTGTAGGTTATATGCTGTATCGAGGCCGTGACAATTTTCCTCGCCTCCTGATATACCCGCTCGTCGTCCCAGCGCGGGTTCATCTGCGCCAGCCGGTCAGCGATCCGGTTATGCTCTCTCATCCACAGTGTGTGCATGACCGTCAGATGGGGATGCGCGTTCACCCGGGCGTCGCCGGCGACGTAACACTTGTCGCCCGACTGACACAAACCAGACGCGTTCACGTGCAAAGGCATGTACGACGATATCTGGTCGTCACCGGATATCAGCATGCGGCCTCCCGATTTCTGTCTGAGAGCCATCGATTGTTTGGCCGATGTGCCGTAAATCATGGATGCGTCCATATAGTGCGTGGCTTGGTTGAGCTAAAAAAAAAAACAGAAGACCCTTACAGTTGAAAAAAAATTGTATCATCCTTTCCAAATGTCATGGGAATATGAATATGTCTCTGTCTGTTCCCCCCTCACTTTCAAATCATTATTCTTTTTTCAACATACGATCAGTTCCGGGCGGTGACGAGTTTTCGTTAGTGACGGTTAGATAACCTAAACCACCTCCCCCACCAAGGCGACCTAACCTTACCTAACCGCATGCAAAGAACTACGCCCCTACGCACAAAGTCGGCCACCCGGTACTGATCTTATGTTAAATAAAGTATACAGATTAGTAGTAAGACGGATTGAATCGCTGAAATCTGAATAATTACATTACTCTCTTTTCACTATTCCCTTTCGGTTTACGTCATCGGTCGTGACATCGTGACGTGAAAATTTCCACGCAAATATTCCATTGACCCCCAGCCATAAGACATATTTATTTCAACAAAAGTTTGCCAAAGAATAAGTGCCGTGGCAACGAGCAGTACTTGACAAAAAGCTTTCTTTTACCTGTTCCCTGGGTCCGAAAGTGCAATCGGGCCGAACGGCAGGAACCGAACGGACGTAGTTCATACAAGTACGGTGCTTGGAAGAGAAAAACGGATCGTCTGCGGGTATGGAGATAGGCGCGCAAGACGGATGCGTGTGACGAGGAGCCAATTTCACGCCGTTTTCGCTACAGCAGTCCACGGATTTGTTCGTTTTCACTAAACACACAAACGCCAATATGTATTACGAGTTGTGGCCGGTAAGGGTAATTTTCTGATTTATACTCACGCATGCTGGTGACGGCCGTATGGGACAGGTCGTGGCCTACGAAAATAGTCCAAAGCGCCATGGCCAGGGTCTTGAAGTTTTCCGGCGAGTTCCCGTCATCCACAAAATTATTGCTGAGCACTCTGGGGTTTGGAAGCTCCTTGATTGAGCTCAGTCCTGTGCACGGCAAACGGAATAGGTTAGATTAGATATAGGAGACATTTAATTTGAAAGCCTATCTTAAAAGTATTTATAAGAAAAAAAAAAATTTAAGTACAATATTTTTCCTGGACGAATTGGAAGTTCGAAAATCGGACGAAATAGACTCGTATGCTAAAAGTAGCTAATACCCAACAGTTTGTCTTTAGGTGTATAACAATATTATAATACTATGTTACCGTCTCCGTAGTCGGGGAACAGCAAACGCTTGTAGGCCGTGTTGGATTTTCCCCAAGTGCTATGTTTTAAGTTGTTGCACGATCCGTCTGCACTGCGGTACTTGGTGTTTTGACCGTCACAAGCGTGTGGGTTTTGGTTAACAGCAACGCACGTTTTGCCCAAAGAAGTCTGGTCCAACTTCACCTTGGCCAGTTCCCGGGCGCATTGAGCCTGTCGCACGCCGAACCTATATTAGAGGCATGTTATTGTAGCTGTTATGATGACTTTTAAAGAAACTAACGTCGCCGCACCTCAAGCAATATTTGTTGACCAAGTACTGCGATGCCTTAAGGATTATTTCGGCGTCGCGGGATGCCTGGTGACCGGCAACAGTTGGCTTTGAGTCGATCAGTTGTCCGTGTGCCGGTGTTCCGTCTTTAACGTTAACGTCGGCGTAAGATAACGTGTTTTCGTATCTGGCAAGCATACTGATTTGCGTAACGCCATATTGGACAGCAGCTTCTAGATCTTTGGTTCCGAGTTTTGATAGGTAGTTTGTCGAACTCGAAGCTGTTAAGTGTTAATAATAGTGTGTTAAGTTCATAATAATTAAACCGATGGCTGTCTTGGTGATGACAAAAATTCTAACCACCTTTCCCTCGAAGGAAAAACGTTAGATCGTGAATATATCTCATCCTCCTTTCCTCTCAATATATTTTAGCTGCGCAGAATGTAACCCGAAGAAACACTTATCGAGAATTACACGGGTTCTTATGGGGGATATATTTGCTCCAATTACGGGCAAATCAGGGTAGGTAGTATAAAAATAATTCTTTTATTTCTGACGATACTGTATATTTCCTAACCGGAAAATGTGTGAAATCAATTTCGACAGTAATGAATTAAAAATTATGATTGAATTCTGGTTTCACCGTTGGCTCAACAATTTTATTGTTTTTTAGTTCTCATTGACTGCCTATATCGGTTATTCTGTGTCAGCTGTTTCTTATCGCTAGTCCTTTATCAATTGTCTCTTATCATCAGACGTAACTCATTTCGTGATGTCAAAATGTCCATGCAAATTTTGGATTGACTTCCAGTCATTAGACATATTGATGTCAAAAAATATAGAATTCCTCGGACGGATAAAAAAAACGAATATTCTTACCTTCCCCGTACGGTTCTTTTCCAGAAGCCAGATAAACTTTGCTATTCGACGATACGAAGGTCGCCGCTAAACAAACTAAAACGCTTACGTGCGGAATTAGGGAACTCATTTTGTCTATATCAACCTGTAACATGCATAAATATAAATTTAATAAATTACAATAGACCGTAGACGCGGTAAAAAGATTTAGAGTCATTCGAACGATTGTTTTTACTAGATGAGACATTATATTGCCCCCCCCCCAAAAAAAAAAAGATTTCTTATTAAATAATAATTGCGACTAAACGTTTTAGTAAGATGTAAATACCTATGTGTATACAATTTTGAAACCATTTTTAAACTTTTAAAATACAATTTGTAATTTTGATTATTATTCAAATGGCTTTATGGCCTTAATATCGGGTTAGAAAGAATAAGTCGGTTCGAAATATATATTTATTAATTTCGTTAACTGATAAATACTATTAAATTATTAAAATTTAACCGCTAAACATTCGGCCATAAAAAGTTGTAAAAAATTTGAAGTTTAAAAAATTGTATATACATTATTTAAATTAACATACGAGTTAATTTTTTAAAAATAACGTTGTTAAGTGATTAAACAAATATTCTAAAACGTTCTAATATCATATGGATTACTTTCAGAAAATTCTAGAACTTTAAACGCTGTTTACAACTATTAATTGTAAATCGCTATATTTGTATCATACATTCATTATTAACAAGGAATAACAATTAACGCTACATCATCAATAATTCATAGCATAATTTTTTTCTTCAACGTGGTTTATTATTTTTTAAAGTTATTATTGCCATACAAATTATATCGAGTTGTCAACCCATAACCGTAAAAGTATATTCTAGGTGTGTATAATATGTTTTTTTCTTTTAAAATAATGGTATTACATTGAAATTGCGTTGTGGGTATTTGGTATTTTTTTTTTTAGTTAAGTAAAAAATGTCGAGTGTACTTAAAACATAATCGGGGTTCGCTTTCTTTAATTTATTACAAACTTTGTAGGTATTTTATTCCGATATATTTCTAGCAAATTATTTTTCTTCTGAAAAATGAAAATTACTAAGATCTATTTTAAGAGAAAGAAGTTAACCTAACCTAACTTTATCTCGGCCAAAAGTTGGACATTATTCGAACAATCTGTTTACCAAGATCTCTAATTTATTATTTGTTCAAAATTCTAAATAATATATACAGTTTTGAAATTATCTACTACAGTAAAAAAGTATTCGAGATAAACAAAACAAGATTTAAAGACTTTGTTTTCTGTTTGTTATTTATGGAATGAATTTCAAATACATATTTGAAATTATCTGAAATAATTCCGACTGTACTTGGTCGTTGTTTCATTATGGCGACATTGAAATGTAACTATCCCATCTAAATTTGTCCTATTAACCTTAACCTAAATTAAAAAAATAAATCCGCCATCAGTGTTAGCGTATGAGATCTTGCGATCGAGAATTGAAAAAGAAAAATACCATATTATTATTATCCTTATAGCTGTTGTATTCTGTGAACGACAACGTGTATATCACAACATAAATAAAAAATCACTGGCATTCTTACAATACCAGTTAAGGATTTGGGTAGGTGCATTAAATAACGATAAACAATTTTAATATTATAATAACATCAACTTGATTATAAAATGTTATTCGCATAACAGAGATTTGTTTTGCAAAAATGTCATTAGTTTATAACATAAATTTATTATCTTAGGAATTATATTCCTTACTGAAAATACCGTAAAATATTGTGTTTTCAACACCATAATTTCAAATATTTCGTTAAATTTGCCTAGTTATTAATACTAACAGTTACAGGTATGCTAATCTTAAATACTATAAATTGTAATATACACAAGAAAAGCCATTAAAGTGCATATAAAATATAAACTATGTAAAAATAATCACATGTAAATCCATTCAAGCGTTGCGTGTTTGGGTGGACATAAAATACTGTTAAAAATTATTTTCATTTATTCAAATATCTTTTAAATAGTGAATTAACGCTTTAATTTTTTTAAATTATTATTACACTAATTTTATATGATTGAACATATTGAATAAACAATATTAACGAACTTAATTGCTGCATGGCTTATTCGAAAAATTATTAGAAGATTTGTAAAGACATTTTCATAATATGTTTTATGTTTTGTAAATGCGGGAAAAATATAATTACATATTTTTGTCTACTAGCCGTTATCAAATTTAACAGCTCTTTATTTGTATGTTATTATAAAAAAAAAATCTTATCCAGAAAAGAAAAACTTAATCTTCTGATTATGTACGTCACAGAAGAAACGAATTTCGGTAGAGAAAAACAAGAAGTAGCTATATTTAGAAGTAGTCATGATTTCAAACGAAATTGATTTGTATTTTATTAAAATAATACCTATTAGCATTGTGCGTTGTTTTGTTTGTTTATAAGCGATCAAATGGGACAAAGTTCAAGTCAAATGCATACACGCAAACTCTTAACGATTTGATTTCCATTTTTTTAATATAAAAAATAATTTGTTATGAATAAAACCGAAAGAGTGAAATTAACTTAAGTGTTACTAAACGAATACAAGCTACTTAACTCGTGAAAACATTATTTGAACAAAAATATACAAAAAATTAAAATGTATAATACAATTAAAATAATTATTAATTTTCAGATTTCAGTAATACATGCAAAAATGGAATTATGTTTATAATTAGCTCACTGACATAACCGATACACGTTTTCGTACTATTTAAAAAGTTTTTTTTATTAAATATATTAACTATATTTGTGACTTATTATTGTTTTTTTTTAGTTGTCGTGTTGATTATGTTTAATATTAGTTATCATTATTAAAATAATAAATATCAAATATATAATGGTAGTGATAATAAATTATAAATACATTTTTTTCTTTTAATTTTACGATTATTATACTCGTATACCTATATTATTCTGGATATAATAAGTTATTTTTGTCGATAAAATTCTTTCTAAACACAAGAGTGGTACCAAATTTTTATAATTAATTTTAATTATTTACATAGATAGATGTATGTAAATTTTTATTTTTGAAGTAATAGGTGGGCATCGATACAATATCTTGATACATTAATAAAAAATAAATCACCTATAAATTTACTTGTATTAATTACTGCGTTTTGTGTTAATTATTTGGATGATCGACGAATCTAATATTGACTGATATAAAACTGAATACACTCATTAAATTGCTATGTACTTTCAGTTAATGGCATAATTATTTTAATTGTGTTGCAAAGTTTAAAAAAAAGAAAAATATTGTTAGTTTAAGTAGTGAATTTGTCTATGTAATATATTTCGGACGTATTGATTTTAAACAACGCGATGTGGACAAGCAATTTTTGTTTAATAATAATAACTTTAAATTGTCAGTACCTTAACACTATAATTTTATGTTTTTTATAATGTAGTAAAAAACTGGCATGGTATAAGTTTAATTAAAGTCAGAACAATTTAGTGTGTATATATCATATAACTGGTAGTCGAAGCACTCGTAGAAGACTTGTTAAAATGTCGTAAGTACAGGGTGATTCATAAAGGATTAGACACATGTTTTCTCTTAAATTAATCGCAATTTTGTTGTATTTATTTTTGGAAACACTAAGTTTGAGTTTTTTTACAGTACTAGTAAATATTCACTTTATTTTTTTTTCTGAAGCACTACCAACTTTTAAAACATATTGTAACGCATATATTTTGTTATCTTTTTTAATTAAGAACAATAATATAATGATAAATTATAAACTCACGCGGTCAAAACGGACAGCTGGACCAATAGTGGACGTTGAGAAACATGTAAGAAATCATTGGTAAACAAGCTTGCTGGCTGATCGTCTTGCTGGGATAGCACTGAATGAAAATAACGCGTATCATGATTCATCTTGGACAACGTACAAACACGCGCGGCTCCCTTCCCCGTTATCGAATCAAACCTATAATAATAATAATAATACAATATAAGATTCACCTTTGGCTTTGTTCGATATTATCAACATCGTACTGGTAACCAGACGTGGGCCGAGGGCAAAATACTAACGCTGCAGTTGCTCACCTGTAGGCTGTAGACGAAAAATAGTACTAAAAAAAAAAACCGTCACAAATCATCCAAGACTTCCATGATCTTTTATATTATCATCATTATTTACGCCAGTGAAAATAATTTATACCTGGAAGTGAAAAAAAACAATATTTTTTTCAAATATTATCAACCGGTATAATTTGTTTTCCGGTTGAATTATATATGGGTATATATAGCATTATCCGAGTGGATTGACAATTTTATAAACAAACCGGTTTGTTTAGCTATAATAGTTATTATCATTATCCATTATACTTCCTTTTGACCGCAGGAAGAAGGATGTACACGGATAACGCGGTAGGTACTTTTTACCATACGGTATGAATAGTAACTTTTTTTTCTAATTTTTTATAGTATATTATTATATAATTGGATTAAAAGTTAAATGACTAGTTAAAAGTTGAATAAAGTTTACATTCGTCACAAAGTTACGCTTTGTTTTACAAAAAAAAAAATTGTGTAAATCACAACGAAAATTGGTGTAAAAAAATGTCTACAATTTGCACGTCAACATGACAAATTGAATAAGTTATTTCAAAAACGACATAAGTCATCGATTTTTCAAAAATGACTTTGTCAAATTTTATAATTATATATGTAGTTACGTATTCTGTGTAAAAACTACATTTATTTTATTACCTAAAGACCAATCAGCATCGTCCCTAATAAATAGCCTTTGAACGTTTGTATAATAAATTATTTTATAATTACTTGTTTGTAAAAATAACTACACAAAACATAATAATATTTCATTAATAATTATAATCTTACAGCATACAGGCCATGTGGTTTAAAAATACGGCGTTATAATCAATTATTATTATTGACAAACACTTAAAAAAAAAATTAAAAAACGTTAATAATTATGCAACGAACGCCGTTTAAACTCAATGGCTTGTTGACTATAAAATAAAATCGATAATTGTCTTATATGTTTAAACTTTAACACAATGATGATTTTAAAAAGACAATATTAAAGTCCATTTAAAATTCTTAAATTTCCTTATTTTATAATGAACTTGTAAACGAAAAAAATACAATTCCTAATTGTAGGTTATTAATTTAAATCCCATAATTACGTTTACTTCTAATTTATTGTTATAATTTTAACTTTTGGTACAAAATGTGGAAAGTTAGAACATTACCAGACAAAAAAGGTGTAAACATGTAAAGATAGTATGCAATATGGAGTTCGATTATGTTAAATTCTGTAATTAAAAGTTCCAGAATCAAGTCTTAAGACCTAGTCGTGTGGCCGATAGAGAAAGTATAACTAGAATAAATAATTTAAAACATAAAAAATACAGAGTACCCGGAACCAGTGTAACTGTTGTTGTTAGCTGGAATAACTGTATTTTAAATAAAAAAGTAACAGTATAACTGTATCGTTTAACTATTTAGTAAAATTAAATCATTGCTTCGTGTGAATATTCAAACAATCCACTGGTGTACTTAAATAAATAGAAAAATATGTCATTAAAAAAAAAATGGTATGAATTGTTCTTTGACAAAAGATTTATCGTTATTTTGTGTTGGCTTTACGGTATTCAACTTGCCGTTTTCGATTTTAGTCATTAAAATAGTTATTATTAAATGTTAAATTGATTTCAAGTATGCGTTAGGTATGTATGTATTTAAAAAAAACGGGTGTGCTAAATACCTATACAGCATAATAAATAAAACAAATTAATGTTGTATGCCATCTAATCATGATAAATTAAACTTTGAAATATGAATTACGATTTATGATTACACTTAATCTAATTTAATCGTTTCGCTTCGACCTGATTACCAATGACGTCTTTTTTTTTATAATCTGTAAACACGATAATTTTTTAACCGGTAAGGTAGTCCAATGTGTTTCATCAGCAGTACCAGTAGTAAGGCCTAAAATTATATTTAAGCATATAAGCATATATTTTCAAAAATATCCTAGTTTGGTCGTTCAAAATGACAAACTTATTATAAAGGTTAAGTCAGGTTAAATTATACCTAACTACTTAATTTGAGTTGTGTTTATTTTTCTAGACTAATTTTTATTCCAATGTTTATTTTTCTCAAATTCCCGTTTTCGTTTCCGGGAACATGATAGATAAAAATTGTAAAAGTTATGACCATTTTTTACTGTGATCAATTGAAATTACCTTACACCTTTTAAAGCCATAGGCGCAATTTAGAGGAGCTTGTGTGTGCTTAGCACCTTTAATTTTTAAATTAGCCCCTACAAAATTATTTGTATTTCATACCATAAAAAGTGGGGAGAGGGAATTTGCTAATAGTTTTGTTGTTTAACCAATTCTATCTTTTTACGCGAAATTGCGCCTCTGCTTTTGACCTTCATAAGGTATTTTCTTGGTTTTATTTTTCTAGTATAAGAATAATAATTCGTTTTCGAGGAACTCATATTGTGTCATATTCTGATTTGGCAGATTTTTTTTTTGGTCCCATAATGATATAATTAATAGTTTTTTTTTCACACGAATTTTGAAACGCGTAACTTAACATCGAAGTTTTTTTTATTTTCAATATGTTTTATTATTTGTTTACATTTACTTATATTTGTTTACGCAGCTTATTTTTGTTAACAACAAGAATCTCATTTGCATGAACTTCTTATAACCACTATAACCGAAGAGCTCGTTGACCGTAGTAATGCGCCCTACTTTATTTTTTTTATACACTAAGTTATTTATACTCGTTTTAGTGACTTGTAGATGTTTATTTAGACAACTGCGCTTCACCGGACAAGTACATAATACCAGTATCAAGTTGAAACTAGTAAATAATATGATGTAAACAGGATGATTCATTGGATAACACACTCGCTTTATCTTAAAATAATTACAATTTTTGACGTTTTGTGTTTATTGTTACTTAGCAATATTAGACAATATTCATATTTTTTAATTTTCTAGTTTTTTAAGTTATATTAACATTTAAAAATTATACGCCTGGCACCGAAAACAACTGGAAAATGCTGTTTTGAAATCTGTATTCAATTATGAGTTAAATGATATATTATGATAATAATTATTTATAAGGTCTGAAAAACTATTCTTTTTAAGTTAATGAATAATGTGTGAAAGCTGCATGTTCTTATATTTATCAGAAAAAGACATCTGTAAAATCATGATTTTTGCCATGCAAGGTAAAGATCTATGAGGGAGGTCCTTTCGTGCCTGTTTTTTCTAAAATTCCAATTGAAGAGAAAAGGACTTTTTTTAACAAAAGAATTTGAAGTTTTTCTTGCATTAAACACTAAAAATTAAGTTTTTCTTTCCAATGCATAGCTGATAAAATGTAGTTCTTTATGATTCAAAAAGAATCTTTCTATTCGGGCATGTGTTTTTTTGAGAAAATGTTACTCAAAAACTCAAAAGGGATTTCCTTGAAACATTAAATTTTGACTATTAATTTTTGAGAAAGTCGATTATGTTATGGTCCCATTTTAGATCTTCCTTCAGCTTAATTTTTAGACATTAAATCCCGAAATTGCACTTAAAAAACGACACAAAAAAAAGTTTCTAACCCTTCTGGAGAAAAAGGGTTTATATATATATTATACTCGTTTTAGTGACTTGTAAGTTTATTTAAACAACAGTTCAAATACTCAAGACCAGCTGGAGTATAGGATCGCGAAACATCAATTAAAAATATTAAATCGAGAGTAGTAAATATCGCCACTACTGTCTTTAGCAAATTATAATGGCTGATATAAAAAGGTTTCATCAAACGTTAGCGTTTCACTGACACGACACACGTTGAAAAAAAATATGACTTCAAGGCTTTCCTTTGGCTGATAAGATATGTTATTATTAATATTATTATTTGGTTCAAAGTAATTGAACAGCGTTTGATTTGACTTTTGAGCTCCGACGCTATACGAATAATAAATGTTACGTCGATCAAGGGCAATTTGAATAATAAAAAATAAAATTTAAACGTCCGACTGAGATTTTATTCATTGACAATTCGAAATGGCTTAGCATAATATTATATCACCTTGAAAAAATTGTACAGGTGTCTCTTTACCCAGGATAAGCCAAATATCCTGTAATAATGTCGTTGCCTTTCGCTTCCCGGATCACAGGTATCATTAATAAATATAACCAGATCATTTTTTTTATTATTATCGTCAATGTTATTGTTATTAGTCACAGTCGCCTGGTTTACCTGGTCCACGGCAAAATCGTACCAGGTTAAAAAAATTGTTCGAAATTTGTATATCTATCACGAGCAACATTTAGCCGGCATTCTACATTTCTCTCGGAACCGTCGAAATACCAGTATTGGTAGAAAATGCACGTCGACTGCTCGAAAATGTAAATAAAAATATTAAAAACACATTATGCAAACTACTTTTCTGTTGGAGTTTCAACTGCGATCAGTGTCCACCACTAGACAAGTTTAGTTTCTTTTCTTTACTGCCTATATGTCGTTAATCACGTAGAAATCGAAATCGATAAAAATCATGTATTTTCAACGTTTTATAATCGGACACTTAATTATTATCTACTAGATTATAATACTATATCCGATTTCATAAACCATACAAATAATAATTATAAACGTTAAAGTAAAATTTGTGTTAACAATAAGAGCCTAATTTTTAGGGAAATAAGAGTCAGGCCGCAGGACCTAAGAGGAAATCTGCTGATAAGAGATATAATAATGATAAATATGTTAAACGAGAAGGGAGAATCAAACTGATAGTGTTATGAATATATATTAATATTTAATAGAATAAAGACTAGTTTTTATAATATAAAAACAATTTTTTTTTATATGTTTTTTTTTTTATTAT